AAGGCACTGACCCTCTTCCTCCAACATGCGTAGTGTGTGCCACAGAGTCGGGGGATGCAACACACTCGTTTGAGGCAATATCACAACTGCTTCTCACAGGAGACCACACAGGATGGGAGAGAGTTCTTTTGATGTTGACCACACAGTAGCTGGGATCTGCAAGTTTAGCAAAAGTCATGCAGTCAGGATAGGGCACCTTGGTGTTCTACGATGCTCTCCCTATATTTCCAGGGTCTCTCTAATGCTCACAGCTTAAGTTATTTCAGAGAGCAGCTGCCTCCATAAAAAGAAACGGGTCGGTGGACAGAGCAGAAGAGCCAACACCTGGGAATGGCCATGACAGAATCTATGGGCATCTTTGTCGATTCAGGGCATAGCTCCATGCCCATCCAACAAACTTGACCCCATCACTTCTCAGGAAGTTTCACTACACCTAAGAGAGAGCTCAGACCATGGTGATCCTGGGATGGGTGAGGATGGGTGTGGGAGACAAAGTATGGGAACACTTTAGTGCCCAGCAAACAAGGTTTTCTACGTAGTTACAGAGCCACCAACCCCATGTCCATTGCTGTGGGTTCTCCGGTCCTTTCTCCTCAAGCCTTCGACCCAACACAAGTCCCTCTCCCCTCACCATCTTATCTGCTCCCTGAAACCTGCGACCTTGGTCAACCCAAGCAAACTGTCCCCTCGCTTCCCAAATGTGGAAATGGGCATGAGCAAAAAAGTGAAACAAGGCGTGGGAGTCAGGGCCATTTTTGAAAATCACGCTGCTGGGATTCAGAGTGACTTCCACCAAAGCATGAGTCACGTGCTATGGAGGCACATGGAGGACTCTAGAGACAGGAGCACTGCTCTCTTGCAAGGGGATGGCTGAACACACCCCAGGGAATGCTGGACCTGGAGCCAGAGTCCTGGCTGACTCATAGCATGAAAAGGGAAGGACCCAGGGTGCCAGCATGCGCCCTTCGATAGCTCAGCTGGTAGAGCGGAGGACTGTAGACTAGACGTGTGTAGGCATCCTTAGGTCGCTGGTTCGATTCCGGCTCGAAGGAGGTGCGTGCTATTTTGACCCAGGCCCATCTGAAGTGCACTACCTGTGACACGGAACAGCCTGCCCTCTGCCTGACCAAATCCTCCCCACAAGGCAATCTCCTCCACACCGGGCAATTGGGAACGTCTTTTCGGACAACCCTTTGAAACTACTTGGGTCCCGTCGCGGGGGAACACACCTGCACCTTCTTCCTGCAGTCCACGTTCACCACATGCCCTTTAGTGCAAAACCCTGTAACATCCAGCCCACTATCTACTTTATTTCTCCATCTCTCCCTCTCCTGAGAGCCTGTTCTGCCACTACCCTGCCCACCATGGGCAGATCCCTGCCTAAAAGGGGGCGAACATGAACTGCCCAGGACAAGCCCTGGAGTCCTACAACATGGTCCTACAGTCATCACAAGTGTGGAAGAAGACAACCATCACATCTTCTTGAAACTCTCCCTCTCAATCTTAGACTTGTCTCCTGACTGATCTCTCTCTGTGTTTTGTCTGACCCATTGGCTGTCCCTCTGTCGGTTTCTCTATCCTTTGTCTTGGAATAGTTAAAAACATGCAGATTAGAGACAGAAACCCCTCTTTCCTGCCATGCTTTACTTATTTGTGGAGCAGATCTGTCTCTTTGGTATCTTCAAGTTTTCCATAACTGTGTGCCTGCACTGAGGGAGGCTGACACTCACAGGACAAAAATTGCAGCGGTCCTCGGTGGGCCCAGGCATTCGTGATGAGGACTCAGTGGCCTGCTCAGGTTTGCTAGCAGTGCGAGGACAGGGCCTGGAAACAGTAAACTTCACCTTTCCCATGTTTTCATACCTGTTCTGTGCATGGGTTTTGAATTTCTCTTAAATATCAAGGATTGTTCCTCCACTCTATGACTACGGTACAATTTCTTGCATCCATTCCTCTGCTGCTTATGATGCAGAAAGATAGAAAAAGTAATATCGATGTTTATAAAGAGAGAAAAGGGAGCTTGAACGCAAAAGCACAGATATGCACAGAGCTCAGAGAAAATCCTGAAAGTCAGGGGCAGCGGCCGAAGGCAGGGAACAGAAGAGTAGAAGTAGGGGCGGGGATGGGTGGAAGTGGGAGGTGGGCGGTTATCATGCAGGGGCAGCCAGTCACTTCCTACACAGTACACTGTGGGTTCTGACCAGCTGGCTAACATAGTGCTGGGCTTTTAAGGCAAACTGGACAGGGCCTGAAAAGGAAGGTGTAGCTACCGAAGCAGAGATTTCCCACAAGAAAATGGGCTGGCGAGGAGGAGCCAGCTTTCTCTTGGGCATGAACCCTGGTGCAGTGGGTATAACTGGGTTGACAGGGATTATGGGCATGAAGAAGACAATGTGTTTCCTTGGGAAGGAAAGCCTGCAGCCTTGATGTACCATGGAGTACATCAAGAGAGGACTCTCAAGTGACTGTCATGGGGCATGCCTCCTAAAGCTCAGGGGCTAGCCACCATCTCTGACTCCTGAGACCACAAGCCCTTTTTCATCTGGCTCTGTCTTCAAACTGGACATTGTTTTCCCACACATCTTCCTCTCCCTACAACCAGCTCCCAGCATCTACCCTCCCCCCTCAGTCTTATTATGCCTAGGGTCCTACTCAGTTAGACAGACTGAGCCAGAATCTGTGTAGTCTCCACCATTTCTATGAGATTCGTGTCTTGAAGTCCCAAGGGACCTTCAGGAGGATTCTATGGCTCTGAAGCCACAGACAGATCTCAGTCTTGAATGTCACTCTCTGCAGTAAGGGCAGTCAGGCACCAAAGCTAGAACCATTAACTTTTCTGGATGTGCTCCCTTAATGGTTGGGATGTGGGGGTTTCCAATCCTTGGGAACCCAACTATTATGCTGTGGAGGTATGCAGAGTCTGGTGGACTCTTGTGACGAGCGCATAGATACAATATCTGGAATGGCTGACTTTTCCTGTATTGGCCATCAGGGAAGGTGGCTAGTTGCCCAGAGGCACTGACCCTTTTCTCCAATGAGCATAGTGTGTGCCACACAGTGGGGCATGCACCACACTCATTTGAGGCAGTATCACACCCGCCTCTCACTGGAGGCTCCACTGCAGGGAGAGCGTTCTTGTGGAGATGACCACACAGTAGCTGGGATCTGCAACTTTTGTAAAAGTCATGCAGTCAGGACAGAGCACCCTGGTGTTTTCTGATGCTCTCCTTATATTTCCAGGGTCTCTCCAGTGTGCACAGAGCTTAAGTTAAGTTGAGAGTATCTGCCTACACAAAAAGGATCTCAGGATGGTGGGTAGACAGAAGAGCCAACTGCTCAGATTAGCCATGGCAGTATCTATGGGCATCTTTGTCAATTCAGGGCATCGCTCCCTGCCCGGCCAACGAACTTGACTCCATCACTTCTCAGTAAGTTTCACCGTGCTGAAGCAAGAGCTCAGACCATGGTGGTCCTGGGACAGGTGAGGTTGGGTGTGGGAGACAAAGATGGGAACACTTTAGTGCCCAGCAAACAAGGATTTCTCAGGTAGTTTCAAGTCACCCACCCCATGTTCAATCCTGTGGGTTCCCCGGTCCTTTCTTCCCCAAACCTTCCACACCCAACACAAGTCCCTCTCCCCTCACCATCTTATATGCTCCCTGCTACTGATGACCTTTGCAACCCACACATCTACCCCCTCACCTCCCAAATGGGGAAATGGGCATAGCAGGAAAAGTGAAACAAGACGTGGGAGTCAGGGGCCCCACCTTTTTGAAAATCACACTGTTGGGATTCAGAGTGGCTCCTAAGCCAAAGATGAGTCATGCGCTATGGAGGCACATGGAGGACTCTAGAGACAGGAGCACTGCTCTCTTGCAAGGGGATGGCTGAACACACCCCAGGGAATGCTGGACCTGGAGCCAGAGTTCTGGCTGACTCATAGCATGAAAAGGGAAGGACCCAGGGTGCCAGCATGCGCCCTTCGATAGCTCAGCTGGTAGAGCGGAGGACTGTAGACTAGACGAGTGTAGGCATCCTTAGGTCGCTGGTTCGATTCCGGCTCGAAGGAGGTACGTGCTATTTTGACCCGGGCCCATCTGAAGTGCACTACCTGTGACACGGAACAGCCTGCCCTCTGCCTGACCAAATCCTCCCCACAAGGCAATGTCCTCCACACCGGGCAATTGGGAACGTCTTTGAAACTACTTGGGTCCCGTCGCGGGGGAACACACCTGCACCTTCTTCCTGCATTCGATGTTCACCCACAGGCTCTTTAGTACAAAACCCCATAACATCCAGCCCACTATCCACTTTATTTCTCCATCTCTCCCTCTCCTGAGAGCCTGTTCTGCCACTACCTTGCCCACCATGGGCTGATTCCTGCCTAACAGGGTGGCAAACATGAACTGTCCATGACATGACCTGGAGCCCTTAAACATGGTGCTACAGTCATCACCACAGTGGCGGACAACCCTCAAGATTTGTGCCTTGACTTCCCACAGGTGATCTTCCGGATCATTCTATGCCTCTGGAGCCACGGACATAACCAAACCCTGAATATCACTTTCTACAGTGAGGGCAGTCAGACACCAAGCTAGAACCATAAGTGTTTCTGGATGCGCTCCCTTACTGGGTGGGATGTGATGGTTTTCCACTCTTGGGAACCCAGCTATTTGCTTTGGAGCTATGGAGAGGCTGGTGGAATCTGGTGACCAGCACATAGAATTGGCTCCCTGGAATGGCTGACTTCTCCTGTATCGACATCACAGAAGGAGGCAAGTGGCCCAGAGGAACTGACCCTCTTCTCCAATGAACCTAGTGTGTACCACACAATTGGGAGGTGAAACACACTCATCTGACACAGCATCTCACCTGCCTCTCACTGGAGGCCACATTGGATGGGAGAGAGTTCATCGAGGGGATGTCCACAGAGTAGCTGGGATCTGGAACTTTTGTAAAATTCATGCAGTCAGGACGGGCACCCTGGTCTTCTCTGATGCTCTCCCTGTATTTACAGGGTCTCTCCAATGCACACAGAAGCTTCAGTTACTTCAGAGATCAGCTGCCTCCAGAAAAAAAGATCTTGCATCGATAGACAGAGCAGAAGAGACAACTGGTCAGATTGGCCATGGCAGTATCTACGGCCGTCTTTGTCAGTTGAGGGCATCGCTCCCTGCCCGGCCAAGGAACTTGACAACATCACTTCTCAGTAAGTTTCACTGCGCTGAAGCGAGAGCTCAGGCCATGGTGTCCTGGAACTGCTGAGGGTGGGTGTGGGAGACAAAGATGGGAACATTTTAGTGCGCAGCAGACAAGGATTTCTCAGGCAGTTTCAAGCCACCCATCCCATGTCCGTTCCTGTGGGTTCTCCGGTCCTTTCTTCCCCAAGCCTTCCTGCACCCAACACAAGTCCCTCTCCCCTCACCATCTTATCTGCTCCCTGCAACCTGCGACCTTGGTCTACCCACACACTGCCCCCTCGCCTCCCAATGGGGGAAATGAGCATGAGCAGGAAAAGTGAAACAAGACATGGGGTTCAGGGACCCCACTTTTGTGAAAATGGCGCTGCTGGGATTCAGAGTGACTTCCAAGCCAAAGATGAGTCATGCACTATGGAGGCACATGGAGGACTCTAGAGACAGGAGAACTGCTCTCTTGCAAGGGGATGGCTGAACACACCCCAGGGAATGCTGGACCTGGAGCCAGAGTCCTGGCTGACTCATAGCATGAAAAAGTAAGGACCCAGGTTGCCAGCATGCGCCCTTCGATAGCTCAGCTGGTAGAGCGGAGGACTGTAGACTAGACGTGTGTAGGCATCCTTAGGTCGCTGGTTCGATTCCGGCTCGAAGGAGGTGCGTGCTATTTTGTCCTGGGCCCATCTGAAGAGCACTACCTGTGACACGGAACAGCCTGCCCTCTGCCTGACCAAATCCTCCCCACAAGGCAATCTCCTCCACACCAGGCTATTGGGAAGCCTTTTTGGACCACATTTTGAAACTACTTTTGTCCTGTCTCGAGGGAACACACCTGCTCCTTCTTCCTGCAGTCCGCATTCACCCAGGCCCTTTAGTGCAAAACCCCGTATCATCCAACCCACTGTCCATTTTATTCCTCCATCTCTCCCTCTCCTGAGAGCCTGTTCTGCCACTACCGTGCCCATGGACAGATCCCTGCCTAACAGGGTGGCAAACATGAACTGTCCATGATATGCCCTGGAGCCCTTAAACATGATCCTACAGTCCTCACAACAGTGGCGCACAACCCTCAAGATTTGTGCCTTGACGTCCCACAGGTGACATTCTGGAGGATTCTATGCCTCTGGAGCCACGGACATAACCAAACCCTGAATATCACTTTCTACAGTGAGGGCAGTCAGACACCAAGCTAGAACCATAAGTGTTTCTGGATGTGCTCCCTTACTGGGTGGGAAGTGATGGTTTTCAACCCTTGGGAACCCAGCTATTTGCTTTGGAGGTATGGAGAGGCTGGTGGAATCTGGTGACCAGCACATAGAATGGGCTCCCTGGAATGGCTGACTTCTCCTGTATCAACATCACAGAAGGAGGCAAGTGGCCCAGAGGAACTGACCCTCTTCTCCAATGAACCTAGTGTGTACCATACAATTGGGAGGTACAACACACTCATCTGACACAGCATCTCACCTGCCTCTCACTGGAGGCCACACTGGATGGGAGAGAGTTCATCGAGGGGATGTCCACAGAGTAGCTGGGATCTGGAACTTTTGTAAAAGTCATGCAGTCAGGATGGGGCACCCTGGTGTTCTCTGATGCTCTCCCTGTATTTACAGGGTCTCTCCAATGCACACAGAAGCTTCAGTTACTTCAGAGATCAGCTGCCTCCACAAAAAAGATCTTGCGTCGATAGACAGAGCAGAAGAGACAACTGCTCAGATTGGCCATGGCAGTATCTACGGGCATCTTTGTCAGTTGAGGGCATCGCTCTCTGCCCCGCCAAGGAACTTGACAACATCACTTCTCAGTAAGTTTCAGTGCGCTGAAGCGAGAGCTCAGGCCATGGTGTCCTGGGACTGGTGAGGGTGGGTGTGGGAGACAAAGATGGGAACATTTTAGTGCGCAGCAGACAAGGATTTCTCAGGCCGTTTCAAGCCACCCACCCCATGTCCGTTCCTGTGGGTTCCCCGGTCCTTTCTTCCCCAAGCCTTCCTGCACCCAACACAAGTCCCTCTCCCCTCACCATCTTATCTGCTCCCTGCAACCTGCGACCTTGGTCTACCCACACACCTGCCCCCTCGCCTCCCAATTGAGGAAATGAGCATGAGCAGGAAAAGTGAAACAGGACGTGGGAGTCAGGGCCCCACCTTTGTGAAAATGGCGCTGCTGGGATTCAGAGTGGCTTCCAAGCCAAAGCATGAGTCACGTGCTATGGAGGCACATGGAGGACTCTAGAGACAGGAGCACTGCTCTCTTGCAAGGGGATGGCTGAACACACCCCAGGGAATGCTGGACCTGGAGCCAGAGTTCTGGCTGACTCATAGCATGAAAAGGGAAGGACCCAGGGTGCCAGCATGCGCCCTTCGATAGCTCAGCTGGTAGAGCGGAGGACTGTAGACTAGACGAGTGTAGGCATCCTTAGGTCGCTGTTTCGATTCCGGCTCGAAGGAGGTGCATGCTATTTTGACCCGGGCCCATCTGAAGTGCACTACCTGTGACACGGAACAGCCTGCCCTCTGCCTGACCAAATCCTCCCCACAAGGCAATCTCCTCCACACCGGGCAATTGGGAACGTCTTTTCGGACAACCCTTTGAAACTACTTGGGTCCCGTCGCGGGGGAACACACCTGCACCTGCTTCCTGCAGTCCACGTTCACCACATGCCCTTTAGTACAAAACCCTGTAACATCCAGCCCACTATCTACTTTATTTCTCCATCTCTCCCTCTCCTGAGAGCCTGTTCTGCCACTACCCTGCCCACCATGGGCAGATCCCTGCCTAAAAGGGGGCGAACATGAACTGCCCAGGACAAGCCCTGGAGTCCTACAACATGGTCCTACAGTCATCACAAGTGTGGAAGAAGACAACCATCACATCTTCTTGAAACTCTCCCTCTCAATCTTAGACTTGTCTCCTGACTGATCTCTCTCTCTGTTTTGTCTGACCCATTGGCTGTCCCTCTGTCGGTTTCTCTATCCTTTGTCTTGGAATAGTTTAAAAACATGCAGATTAGAGACAGAAACCCCTCTTTCCTGCCATGCTTTACTTATTTGTGGAGCAGATCTGTCTCTTTGGTATCTTCAAGTTTTCCATAACTGTGTGCCTGCACTGAGGGAGGCTGACACTCACAGGACAAAAATTGCAGCGGTCCTCGGTGGGCCCAGGCAGTCGTGATGAGGACACAGTGGCCTGCTCAGGTTTGCTAGCAGTGCGAGGACAGGGCCTGGAAACAGTAAACTTCACCTTTCCCATGTTTTCATACCTGTTCTGTGCATGGGTTTTGACTTTCTCTTAAATGTCAAGGATTGTTCCTCCACTCTGTGACTACGGTACAATTTCTTGCATCCATTCCTCTGCTGCTTATGATGCAGAAAGTTAGAAAAAGTAATATCGATGTTTATAAAGAGAGAAAAGGGAGCTTGAACACAAAAGCACAGATACGGACAGAGCTCAGAGAAAATCCTGAAAGTCAGGGGCAGCGGCGGAAGGCAGGGAACAGAAGAGTAGAAGTTGGGGCGGGGATGGGTGGAAGTGGGAGGTGGGCGGTTATCATGCAGGGGCAGCCAGTCACTTCCTACACAGTACACTGTGGGTTCTGACCAGCTGGCTAACATAGTGCTGGGCTTTTAAGGCAAACTGGACAGGGCCTGAAAAGGAGGTGTAGCTACCGAAGCAGAGATTTCCCACAAGAAAATGGGCTGGCGAGGAGGAGCCAGCTTTCTCTTGGGCATGAACCCTGGTACAGTGGGTATAACTGGGTTGACAGGGATTATGGGCATGAAGAAGACAATGTGTTTCCTTGGGAAGGAAAGCCTGCAGCCTTGATGTACCATGGAGTACATCACAGAGAGGACTCTCAAGTGACTGTCATGGGGCATGCCTCCTAAAGCTCAGGGGCTAGCCACCATCTCTGACTCCTGAGACCACAAGCCCTTTTTCATCTGGCTCTGTCTTCAAACTGGACATTGTTTTCCCACACATCTTCCTCTCCCTACAACCAGCTCCCAGCATCTACCCTCCCACCTCAGTCTTATTATGCCTAGGGTCCTACTCAGTTAGACAGACTGAGCCAGAATCTGTGTAGTCTCCACCATTTCTATGAGATTCGTGTCTTGAAGTCCCAAGGGACCTTCAGGAGGATTCTATGGCTCTGAAGCCACAGACAGATCTCAGTCTTGAATGTCACTCTCTGCAGTAAGGGCAGTCAGGCACCAAAGCTAGAACCATTAACTTTTCTGGATGTGCTCCCTTAATGGTTGGGATGTGGGGGTTTCCAATCCTTGGGAACCCAACTATTATGCTTTGGAGGTATGCAGAGTCTGGTGGACTCTTGTGACGAGCGCATAGATGCAATATCTGGAATGGCTGACTTTTCCTGTATTGGCCATCAGGGAAGGTGGCTAGTTGCCCAGAGGCACTGACCCTCTTCTCCAGTGACCATAGTGTGTCCCACACAGTAGGGGGATGCAACACACTCATTTGAGGCAGTATCACACCTGCCTCTCACTGGAGGCTCCACTGGAGGGAGAGAGTTCTTGTGGAGGTGACCACACAGTAGCTGGGATCTGCAACTTTTGTAAAAGTCATGCAGTCAGGACAGAGCACCCTGGTGTTCTCTGATGCTCTCCTTATATTTCCAGGGTCTCTCCAGTGTGCACAGAGCTTAAGTTAAGTTGAGAGTATCTGGGCCTGCCCCGTGGCGCAGCGGTTGAGCGCTGGGTTGCGAAGCTGCCCGCGGCCTCAGCGGCGCCGGTTCAATCCCCGGCTGCTCCCCGGCCACCAGAGGAGGGTCCCACATGGCGCGCAGACCTCTCCTGCCGTCCGCTGCTCCTCTCAGCAGTGTACCTCGGTCCTTCTGCCTGCTCTGCTCCTCGCTCTGGCTCTGGTGAATTCTCTCACCCTCCTGCGCTTCTGACTGTACCCAGTGCATGTATAAACAAAACAAACAAACAAACAAATAAATAAATAAAAACATGCCTCTATAAAAAAAAAATGTTTAAAAAAAAAAATAATAATAATAAAATAAGTTGAGAGTATCTGCCTACACAAAAAGGATCTCAGGTTGGTGGGTAGACAGAAGAGCCAACTGCTCAGATTAGCCATGGCAGTATCTATGGGCATCTTTGTCAATTCAGGGCATCGCTCCCTGCCCGGCCAAAGAATTTGACAACAGCACTTCTCAGTAAGTTTCACTGTGCTGCAGCAAGAGCTCAGACCATAGTGGTCCTGGGACAGGTGAGGTTGGGTGTGGGAGACAAAGATGGGAACACTTTAGTGCCCAGCAAACAAGGATTTCTCAGGTAGTTTCAAGTCACCCACCCCATGTTCAATCCTGTGGGTTCCCCGGTCCTTTCTTCCCCAAACCTTCCACACCCAACACAAGTCCCTCTCCCCTCACCATCTTATATGCTCCCTGCTACTGATGACCTTTGCAATCCACACATCTACCCCCTCACCTCCCAAATGGGGAAATGGGCATAGCAGGAAAAGTGAAACAAGACGTGGGAGTCAGGGGCCCCACCTTTTTGAAAATCACGCTGTTGGGATTCAGAATGGCTCCTAAGCCAAAGATGAGTCATGCGCTAGGGAGGCACATGGAGGACTCTAGAGACAGGAGCACTGCTCTCCTGCAAGGAATCGCTGAACACACCCCAGGGAATGCTGGACCTGGAGCCAGAGTCCTGGCTGACTCATAGCATGAAAAGGGAAGGACCCAGGTTGTCAGCATGTGCCCTTCGATAGCTCAGCTGGTAGAGCGGAGGACTGTAGACTAGACGTGTGTAGGCATCCTTAGGTCGCTGGTTCGATTCCGGCTCGAAGGAGGTGCGTGCTATTTTGACCTCGGCCCATCTGAAGTGCACTACCTGTGACACGGAACAGCCTGCCCTCTGCCTGACCAAATCCTCCCCACAAGGCAATCTCCTCCACACCGGGCAATTGGGAAGTATTTTCAGACAACCCTTTGAAACTACTTGGGTCCCGTCGCGGGGGAACACACCTGCACCTTCTTCCTGCATTCGATGTTCACCCACAGGCCCTTTAGTTCTTAACCCCGAAACATCCAGCCCACTATCCACTTTATTTCTCCATCTCTCCCTCTCCTGAGAGCCTGTTCTGCCACTACCTTGCCCGTCATGGGCAGATCCCTGCCTAACAGGGTGGCAAACATGAACTGTCCATGATATGCCCTGGAGCCCTCAAACATGGTCCTACAGTCCTCACAACAGTGGCGGACAACCCTCAAGATTTGTGCCTTGACGTCCCACAGGTGACCTTCTGGAGGATTCTATGCCTCTGGAGCCACGGACATAACCAAACCCTGAATGTCACTTTCTACAGTGAGGGCAGTCAGACACCAAGCTAGAACCATAAGTGTTTCTGGACGTGCTCCCTTACTGGGTGGGATGTGATGGTTTTCAACCCTTGGGAACCCTGCTATTTGCTTTGGAGGTATGGAGAGGCTGGTGGAATCTGGTGACCAGCACATAGAATGGGCTCCCTGGAATGGCTGACTTCTCCTGTATCGACATCACAGAAGGAGGCAAGTGGCCCCGAGGAACTGACCCTCTTCTCCAATGAACCTAGTGTGTACCACACAATTGGGAGGTGCAACACACTCATCTGACACAGCATCTCACATGCCTCTCACTGGAGGCCACACTGGATGGGAGAGAGTTCTTCGAGGGGATGTCCACAGAGTAGCTGGGATCTGGAACTTTTGTAAAAGTCATGCAGTAAGGACGGGGCACCGTGGTGTTCTCTGATGCTCTCCCTGTATTTACAGGGTCTCTCCAATGCACACAGAAGCTTCAGTTACTTCAGAGATCAGCTGCCTCCACAAAAAAGATCTTGCGTCGATAGACAGAGCAGAAGAGACAACAGCTCAGATTGGCCATGGCAGTATCTATGGGCATCTTTGTCAGTTGAGGGCATCGCTCCCTGCCCGGCCAAGGAACTTGACAACATCACTTCTCAGTAAGTTTCACTGCGCTGAAGCAAGAGCTCAGGCCACGGTGTCCTGGAACTGCTGAGGGTGGGTGTGGGAGACAAAGATGGGAACATTTTAGTGCGCAGCAGACAAGGGTTTCTCAGGCAGTTTCAAGCCACCCATCCCATGTCCGTTCCTGTGGGTTCTCCGGTCCTTTCTTCCCCAAGCCTTCCTGCACCCAACACAAGTCCCTCTCCCCTCACCATCTTATCTGCTCCCTGCAACCTGCGACCTTGGTCTACCCACACACCTGCCCCCTCACCTCCCAATTGTGGAAATGAGCATGAGCAGGAAAAGTGAAACAGGACGTGGGAGTCAGGGCCCCACCTTTTCGAAAATGGCGCTGCTGGGATTCAGAGTGGCTTCCAAGCCAAAGCATGAGTCACGTGCTATGGAGGCACATGGAGGACTCTAGAGACAGGAGCACTGCTCTCTTGCAAGGGGATGGCTGAACACACCCCAGGGAATGCTGGACCTGGAGCCAGAGTCCTGGCTGACTCATAGCATGAAAAGGGAAGGACCCAGGTTGCCAGCATGTGCCCTTCGATAGCTCAGCTGGTAGAGCGGAGGACTGTAGACTAGACGTGTGTAGGCATCCTTAGGTCGCTGGTTCGATTCCGGCTCGAAGGAGGTGCGTGCTATTTTGACCCAGGCCCATCTGAAGTGCACTACCTGTGACACGGAACAGCCTGCCCTCTGCCTGACCAAATCCTCCCCACAAGGCAATCTCCTCCACACCGGGCAATTGGGAACGTCTTTTCGGACAACCCTTTGAACCCACTTGGGTCCCGTCGCGGGGGAACACACCTGCACCTTCTTCCTGCAGTCCACGTTCACCACATGCCCTTTAGTACAAAACCCTGTAACATCCAGCCCACTATCTACTTTATTTCTCCATCTCTCCCTCTCCTGAGAGCCTGTTCTGCCACTACCCTGCCACCATGGGCAGATCCCTGCCTAAAAGGGGGCGAACATGAACTGCCCAGGACAAGCCCTGGAGTCCTACAACATGGTCCTACAGTCATCACAAGTGTGGAAGAAGACAACCATCACATCTTCTTGAAAACTCTCCCTCTCAATCTTAGACTTGTCTCCTGACTGATCTCTCTCTGTGTTTTGTCTGACCCATTGGCTGTCCCTCTGTCGGTTTCTCTATCCTTTGTCTTGGAATAGTTTAAAAACATGCAGATTAGAGACAGAAACCCCTCTTTCCTGCCATGCTTTACTTATTTGTGGAGCAGATCTGTCTCTTTGGTATCTTCAAGTTTTCCATAACTGTGTGCCTGCACTGAGGGAGGCTGACACTCACAGGACAAAAATTGCAGCGGTCCTCGGTGGGCCCAGGCATTCGTGATGAGGACTCAGTGGCCTGCTCAGGTTTGCTAGCAGTGCGAGGACAGGGCCTGGAAACAGTAAACTTCACCTTTCCCATGTTTTCATACCTGTTCTGTGCATGGGTTTTGAATTTCTCTTAAATATCAAGGATTGTTCCTCCACTCTATGACTACGGTACAATTTCTTGCATCCATTCCTCTGCTGCTTATGATGCAGAAAAATAGAAAAAGTAATATCGATGTTTATAAAGAGAGAAAAGGGAGCTTGAACGCAAAAGCACAGATATGCACAGAGCTCAGAGAAAATCCTGAAAGTCAGGGGCAGCGGCCGAAGGCAGGGAACAGAAGAGTAGAAGTAGGGGCGGGGATGGGTGGAAGTGGGAGGTGGGCGGTTATCATGCAGGGGCAGCCAGTCACTTCCTACACAGTACACTGTGGGTTCTGACCAGCTGGCTAACATAGTGCTGGGCTTTTAAGGCAAACTGGACAGGGCCTGAAAAGGAAGGTGTAGCTACCGAAGCAGAGATTTCCCACAAGAAAATGGGCTGGCGAGGAGGAGCCAGCTTTCTCTTGGGCATGAACCCTGGTGCAGTGGGTATAACTGGGTTGACAGGGATTATGGGCATGAAGAAGACAATGTGTTTCCTTGGGAAGGAAAGCCTGCAGCCTTGATGTACCATGGAGTACATCAAGAGAGGACTCTCAAGTGACTGTCATGGGGCATGCCTCCTAAAGCTCAGGGGCTAGCCACCATCTCTGACTCCTGAGACCACAAGCCCTTTTTCATCTGGCTCTGTCTTCAAACTGGACATTGTTTTCCCACACATCTTCCTCTCCCTACAACCAGCTCCCAGCATCTACCCTCCCCCCTCAGTCTTATTATGCCTAGGGTCCTACTCAGTTAGACAGACTGAGCCAGAATCTGTGTAGTCTCCACCATTTCTATGAGATTCGTGTCTTGAAGTCCCAAGGGACCTTCAGGAGGATTCTATGGCTCTGAAGCCACAGACAGCTCTCAGTCTTGAATGTCACTCTCTGCAGTAAGGGCAGTCAGGCACCAAAGCTAGAACCATTAACTTTTCTGGATGTGCTCCCTTAATGGTTGGGATGTGGGGGTTTCCAATCCTTGGGAACCCAACTATTATGCTGTGGAGGTATGCAGAGTCTGGTGGACTCTTGTGACGAGCGCATAGATGCAATATCTGGAATGGCTGACTTTTCCTGTATTGGCCATCAGGGAAGGTGGCTAGTTGTCCAGAGGCACTGACCCTTTTCTCCAATGAGCATAGTGTGTGCCACACAGTGGGGCATGCACCACACTCATTTGAGGCAGTATCACACCTGCCTCTCACTGGAGGCTCCACTGCAGGGAGAGCGTTCTTGTGGAGGTGACCACACAGTAGCTGGGATCTGCAACTTTTGTAAAAGTCATGCAGTCAGGACAGAGCACCCTGGTGTTCTCTGATGCTCTCCTTATATTTCCAGGGTCTCTCCAGTGTGCACAGAGCTTAAGTTACGTTGAGAGTATCTGCCTACACAAAAAGGATCTCAGGTTGGTGGGTAGACACAAGAGCCAACTGCTCAGATTAGCCATGGCAGTATCTATGGGCATCTTTGTCAAATCAGGGCATCGCTCCCTGCTCGGCCAACGAACTTGACTCCATCACTTCTCAGTAAGTTTCACCGTGCTGAAGCAAGAGCTCAGACCATGGTGGTCCTGGGACAGGTGAGGTTGGGTGTGGGAGACAAAGATGGGAACACTTTAGTGCCCAGCAAACAAGGATTTCTCAGGTAGTTTCAAGTCACCCACCCCATGTTCAATCCTGTGGGTTCCCCGGTCCTTTCTTCCCCAAACCTTCCACACCCAACACAAGTCCCTCTCCCCTCACCATCTTATATGCTCCCTGCTACTGATGACCTTTGCAAACCACACATCTACCCCCTCACCTCCCAAATGGGGAAATGGGCATAGCAGGAAAAGTGAAACAAGACGTGGCAGTCAGGGGCCCCACCTTTTTGAAAATCACGCTGTTGGGATTCAGAGTGGCTCCTAAGCCAAAGATGAGTCACGTGCTATGGAGGCACATGGAGGACTCTAGAGACAGGAGCACTACTCTCCTGCAAGGAATCGCTGAACACACCCCAGGGAATGCTGGACCTGGAGCCAGAGTCCTGGCTGACTCATAGCATGAAAAAGTAAGGGCCCAGGTTGCCAGCATGCGCCCTTCGATAGCTCAGCTGGTAGAGCGTAGGACTGTAGACTAGACGTGTGTAGGCATCCTTAGGTCGCTGGTTCGATTCCGGCTCGAAGGAGGTGTGTGCTATTTTGACCCGGGCCCATCAGAAGTGCACTACCTGTGACACGGAACAGCCTCCCCTCTGCCTGACCAAATCCTCCTGACAAGGCGATCTCCTCCACACCAGGAAATTGGGAAGTCTTTTCGGACAACCCTTTGAAACTACTTGTGTCCTGTCGCAGGGGAACACACCTGCACCTTCTTCCTGCATTTGATGTTCCCCCTCAGGCCCTTTAGTACAAAACCCCATAACATCCAGCCCACTATCCACTTTATTTCTCCATCTCTCCCTCTCCTGAGAGCCTGTTCTGCCACTACCTTGCCCACCATGGGCTGATCCCTGCCTAACAGGGTGGCAAACATGAACTGTCCATGACATGACCTGGAGCCCTTAAACATGGTGCTACAGTCATCACCACAGTGGCGGACAACCCTCGAGATTTGTGCCTTGACTTCCCACAGTTGACCTTCCGGAGCATTCTATGCCTCTGGAGCCACGGACATAACCAAACCCTGAATGTCACTTTCTACACTGAGGGCAGTCAGACACCAAGTTAGAACCATAAGTGTTTCTGGATGCGCTCCCTTACTGGGTGGGATGTGATGGTTTTCAACTCTTGGGAACCCAGCTATTTGCTTTGGAGGTATGGAGAGGCTGGTGGAATCTGGTGACCAGCACATAGAATTGGCTCCCTGGAATGGCTGACTTCTCCTGTATCGACATCACAGAAGGAGGCAAGTGGCCCGGAGGAACTGACCCTCTTCTCCAATGAACCTAGTGTGTACCACACAATTGGGAGGTGAAACACACTCATCTGACACAGCATCTCACCTGCCTCTCACTGGAGGCCACACTGGATGGGAGAGAGTTCATCGAGGGGATGTCCACAGAGTAGCTGGGATCTGGAACTTTTGTAAAAGTCACGCAGTCAGGACGGGGCACCCTGGTGTTCTCTGATGCTCTCCCTGTATTTACAGGGTCTCTCCAATGCACACAGAAGCTTCAGTTACTTCAGAGATCAGCTGCCCCCACAAAAAAGATCTTGCGTCGATAGACAGAGCAGAAGAGACAACTGCTCAGATTGGCCATGGCAGTATCTACGGGCATCTTTGTCAGTTGAGGGCATCGCTCCCTGCCCGGCCAAGGAACTTGACAACATCACTTCTCAGTAAGTTTCACTTCGCTGAAGCGAGAGCTCAGGCCATGGTGCCCTGGGACCGGTGAGGTTAGGTGTGGGAGAAAAAAATGGGAACACTTTAGTTCGCAGCAAACAAGGTTTTCTCAGGTAGTTTCAGAGCCACCCATCCCATGTCCGTTCCTGTGGGTTCTCCGGTCCTTTCTTCCCCAAGCCTTCCTGCACCCAACACAAGTCCCTCTCCCCTCACCATCTTATCTGCTCCCTGCAACCTGCGACCTTGGTCTACCCACACACTGCCCCCTCGCCTCCCAATTGGGGAAATGAGAATGAGGAGAAAAAGTGAAACAAGACATGGGGTTCAGGGGCCCCACTTTTGTGAAAATGGCGCTGCTGGGATTCAGAGTGACTTCCAAGCCAAAGATGAGTCATGCACTATGGAGGCACATGGAGGACTCTAGAGACAGGAGAACTGCTGTCTTGCAAGGGAATGGCTGAACACACCCCAGGGAATGCTGGACCTGGAGCCAGAGTCCTGGCTGAGTCATAGCATGAAAAAGTAAGGACCCAGTTTGCCAGCATGCGCCCTTCGATAGCTCAGCTGGTAGAGCGGAGGACTGTAGACTAGACGTGTGTAGGCATCCTTAGGTCGCTGGTTCGATTCCGGCTCGAAGGAGGTGCGTGCTATTTTGTCCTGTGCCCATCTGAAGAGCACTACCTGTGACACGGAACAGCCTGCCCTCTGCCTGACCAAATCCTCCCCACAAGGCAATCTCCTCCACACCAGGCTATTGGGAAGCCTTTTTGGACCACATTTTGAAACTACTTTTGTCCTGTCTCGAGGGAACACACCTGCTCCTTCTTCCTGCAGTCCGCATTCACCCAGGCCCTTTAGTGCAAAACCCCGTATCATCCAACCCACTGTCCATTTTATTCCTCCATCTCTCCCTCTCCTGAGAGCCTGTTCTGCCACTACCGTGCCCATGGACAGATCCCTGCCTAACAGGGTGGCAAACATGAACTGTCCATGATATGCCCTGGAGCCCTTAAACATGATCCTACAGTCCTCACAACAGTGGCGCACAACCCTCAAGATTTGTGCCTTGACGTCCCACAGGTGACCTTCCGGAGCATTCTATGCCTCTGGAGCCACGGACATAACCAAACCCTGAATATCACTTTCTACAGTGAGGGCAGTCAGACACCAAGCTAGAACCATAAGTGTTTCTGGACGAGCTCCCTTACTGGGTGGGATGTGATGGTTTTCAACCCTTGGGAACCCAGCTATTTGCTTTGGAGGTATGGAGAGGCTGGTGGAATCTGGTGACCAGCACATAGAATGGGCTCCCTGGAATGGCTGACTTCTCCTGTATCGACATCACAGAAGGAGGCAAGTGGCCCAGAGGAACTGACCCTCTTCTCCAATGAACCTAGTGTGTACCACACAATTGGGAGGTGAAACACACTCATCTGACACAGCATCTCACCTGCCTCTCACTGGAGGCCACACTGGATGGGAGAGAGTTCATCGAGGGGATGTCCACAGAGTAGCTGGGATCTGGAACTTTTGTAAAAGTCATGCAGTCAGGATGGGGCACCCTGGTGTTCTCTGATGCTCTCCCTGTATTTACAGGGTCTCTCCAATGCACACAGAAGCTTCAGTTACTTCAGAGATCAGCTGCCTCCACAAAAAAGATCTTGCGTCGATAGACAGAGCAGAAGAGACAACTGCTCAGATTGGCCATGGCAGTATCTACGGGCATCTTTGTCAGTTGAGGGCATCGCTCCCTGCCCGGCCAAGGAACTTGACAACATCACTTCTCAGTAAGTTTCAGTGCGCTGAAGCGAGAGCTCAGGCCATGGTGTCCTGGAACTGCTGAGGGTGGGTGTGGGAGACAAAGATGGGAACATTTTAGTGCGCAGCAGACAAGGATTTCTCAGGCAATTTCAAGCCACCCATCCCATGTCCGTTCCTGTGGGTTCTCCGGTCCTTTCTTCCCCAAGCCTTCCTGCACCCAACACAAGTCCCTCTCCCCTCACCATCTTATCTGCTCCCTGCAACCTGCGACCTTGGTCTACCCACACACTGCCCCCTCGCCTCCCAATGGGGGAAATGAGCATGAGCAGGAAAAGTGAAATAAGACATGGGGTTCAGGGACCCCACTTTTGTGAAAATGGCGCTGCTGGGATTCAGAGTGACTTCCAAGCCAAAGATGAGTCATGCACTATGGAGGCACATGGAGGACTCTAGAGACAGGAGCACTGCTCTCTTGCAAGGGGATGGCTGAACACACCCCAGGGAATGCTGGACCTGGAGCCAGAGTCCTGGCTGACTCATAGCATGAAAAGGGAAGGACCCAGGGTGCCAGCATGCGCCCTTCGATAGCTCAGCTGGTAGAGCGGAGGACTGTAGACTAGACGTGTGTAGACATCCTTAGGTCGCTGGTTCGATTCCGGCTCGAAGGAGGTGCAGGCTATTTTGACCCAGGCCCATCTGAAGTGCACTACCTGTGACACGGAACAGCCTGCCCTCTGCCTGACCAAATCCTCCCCACAAGGCAATGTCCTCCACACCGGGCAATTGGGAACGTCTTTTCGGACAACCCTTTGAACCTACTTGGGTCCCGTCGCGGGGGAACACACCTGCACCTTCGTCCTGCAGTCCACGTTCACCACATGCCCTTTAGTACAAAACCCTGTAACATCCAGCCCACTATCTACTTTATTTCTCCATCTCTCCCTCTCCTGAGAGCCTGTTCTGCCACTACCCTGCCCACCATGGGCCGATCCCTGCCTAAAAGGGGGCGAACATGAACTGCCCAGGACAAGCCCTGGAGTCCTACAACATGGTCCTACAGTCATCACAAGTGTGGAAGAAGACAACCATCACATCTTCTTGAAACTCTCCCTCTCAATCTTAGACTTGTCTCCTGACTGATCTCTCTCTCTGTTTTGTCTGACCCATTGGCTGTCCCTCTGTCGGTTTCTCTATCCTTTGTCTTGGAATAGTTTAAAAACATGCAGATTAGAGACAGAAACCCCTCTTTCCTGCCATGCTTTACTTATTTGTGGAGCAGATCTGTCTCTTTGGTATCTTCAAGTTTTCCATAACTGTGTGCCTGCACTGAGGGAGGCTGACACTCACAGGACAAAAATTGCAGCGGTCCTCGGTGGGCCCAGGCAGTCGTGATGAGGACACAGTGGCCTGCTCAGGTTTGCTAGCAGTGCGAGGACAGGGCCTGGAAACAGTAAACTTCACCTTTCCCATGTTTTCATACCTGTTCTGTGCATGGGTTTTGACTTTCTCTTAAATGTCAAGGATTGTTCCTCCACTCTGTGACTACGGTACAATTTCTTGCATCCATTCCTCTGCTGCTTATGATGCAGAAAGATAGAAAAAGTAAATCGATGTTTATAAAGAGAGAAAAGGGAGCTTGAACGCAAAAGCACTGATATGGACAGAGCTCAGAGAAAATCCTGAAAGTCAGGGGCAGCGGCCGAAGGCAGGGAACAGAAGAATAGAAGTAGGGGCGGGGATGGGTGGAAGTGGGAGGTGGGCGGTTATCATGCAGGGGCAGCCAGTCACTTCCTACACAGTACACTGTGGGTTCTGACCAGCTGGCTAACATAGTGCTGGGCTTTTAAGGCAAACTGGACAGGGCCTGAAAAGGAAGGTGTAGCTACCGAAGCAGAGATTTCCCACAAGAAAATGGGCTGGCGAGGAGGAGCCAGCTTTCTCTTGGGCATGAACCCTGGTGCAGTGGGTATAACTGGGTTGACAGGGATTATGGGCATGAAGAAGACAATGTGTTTCCTTGGGAAGGAAAGCCTGCAGCCTTGATGTACCATGGAGTACATCAAGAGAGGACTCTCAAGTGACTGTCATGGGGCATGCCTCCTAAAGCTCAGGGGCTAGCCACCATCTCTGACTCCTGAGACCACAAGCCCTTTTTCATCTGGCTCTGTCTTCAAACTGGACATTGTTTTCCCACACATCTTCCTCTCCCTACAACCAGCTCCCAGCATCTACCCTCCCCCCTCAGTCTTATTATGCCTAGGGTCCTACTCAGTTAGACAGACTGAGCCAGAATCTGTGTAGTCTCCACCATTTCTATGAGATTCGTGTCTTGAAGTCCCAAGGGACCTTCAGGAGGATTCTATGGCTCTGAAGCCACAGACAGATCTCAGTCTTGAATGTCACTCTCTGCAGTAAGGGCAGTCAGGCACCAAAGCTAGAACCATTAACTTTTCTGGATGTGCTCCCTTAATGGTTGGGATGTGGGGGTTTCCAATCCTTGGGAACCCAGCTATTATGCTTTGGAGGTATGGAGAGTCTGGTGGACTCTTTTGACGAGCACATAGATGCAATCCCTGGAATGGCTGACTTTTCCTGTATTGGCCATCAGGGAAGGTGGCTAGTTGCCCAGAGGCACTGACCCTCTTCTCCAGTGACCATAGTGTGTCCCACACAGTAGGGGGATGCAACACACTCATTTGAGGCAGTATCACACCTGCCTCTCACTGGAGGCTCCACTGGAGGGAGAGAGTTCTTGTGGAGGTGACCACACAGTAGCTGGGATCTGCAACTTTTGTAAAAGTCATGCAGTCAGGACAGAGCACCCTGGTGTTCTCTGATGCTCTCCTTATATTTCCAGGGTCTCTCCAGTGTGCACAGAGCTTAAGTTACGTCGAGAGTATCTGCCTACACAAAAAGGATCTCAGGTTGGTGGGTAGACAGAAGAGCCAACTGCTCAGATTAGCCATGGCAGTATCTATGGGCATCTTTGTCAATTCAGGGCATCGCTCCCTGCCCGGCCAAAGAATTTGACAACAGCACTTCTCAGTAAGTTTCACCGTGCTGCAGCAAGAGCTCAGACCATGGTGGTCCTGGGACAGGTGAGGTTGGGTGTGGGAGACAAAGATGGGAACACTTTAGTGCCCAGCAAACAAGGATTTCTCAGGTAGTTTCAAGTCACCCACCCCATGTTCAATCCTGTGGGTTCCCCGGTCCTTTCTTCCACAAACCTTCCACACCCAACACAAGTCCCTCTCCCCTCACCATCTTATATGCTCCCTGCTACTGATGACCTTTGCAACCCACACATCTACCCCCTCACCTCCCAAATGGGGAAATGGGCATAGCAGGAAAAGTGAAACAAGACGTGGGAGTCAGGGGCCCCACCTTTTTGAAAATCACGCTGTTGGGATTCAGAATGGCTCCTAAGCCAAAGATGAGTCATGCGCTAGGGAGGCACATGGAGGACTCTAGAGACAGGAGCACTGCTCTCCTGCAAGGAATCGCTGAACACACCCCAGGGAATGCTGGACCTGGAGCCAGAGTCCTGGCTGAGTCATAGCATGAAAAGGGAAGGACCCAGGTTGCCAGCATGCGCCCTTCGATAGCTCAGCTGGTAGAGCGGAGGACTGTAGACTAGACGTGTGTAGGCATCCTTAGGTCGCTGGTTCGATTCCGGCTCGAAGGAGGTGCGTGCTATTTTGACCCGGACCCATCTGAAGAGCACTACCTGTGACACGGAACAGCCTCCCCTCTGCCTGACCAAATCCTCCTGACAAGGCGATCTCCTCCACACCAGGAAATTGGGAAGTCTTTTCGGACAACCCTTTGAAACTACTTGTGTCCTGTCGCGGGGGAACACACCTGCACCTTCTTCCTGCATTTGATGTTCCCCCTCAGGCCCTTTAGTACAAAACCCCATAACATCCAGCCCACTATCCACTTTATTTCTCCATCTCTCCCTCTCCTGAGAGCCTGTTCTGCCACTACCTTGCCCACCATGGGCTGATCCCTGCCTAACAGGGTGGCAAACATGAACTGTCCATGACATGACCTGGAGCCCTTAAACATGGTGCTACAGTCATCACCACAGTGGCGGACAACCCTCAAGATTTGTGCCTTGACTTCCCACAGGTGACCTTCCGGAGCATTCTATGCCTCTGGAGCCACGGACATAACCAAACCCTGAATGTCACTTTCTACACTGAGGGCAGTCAGACACCAAGTTAGAACCATAAGTGTTTCTGGATGTGCTCCCTTACTGGGTGGGATGTGATGGTTTTCAACCCTTGGGAACCCTGCTATTTGCTTTGGAGCTATGGAGAGGCTGGTGGAATCTGGTGACCAGCACATAGAATGGGCTCCCTGGAATGGCTGACTTCTCCTGTATCGACATCACAGAAGGAGGCAAGTGGCCCCGAGGAACTGACCCTCTTCTCCAATGAACCTAGTGTGTACCACACAATTGGGAGGTGCAACACACTCATCTGACACAGCATCTCACCTGCCTCTCACTGGAGGCCACACTGGATGGGAGAGAGTTCATCGAGGGGATGTCCACAGAGTAGCTGGGATCTGGAACTTTTGTAAAAGTCATGCAGTCAGGATGGGGCACCCTGGTGTTCTCTGATGCTCTCCCTGTATTTACAGGGTCTCTCCAATGCACACAGAAGCTTCAGTTACTTCAGAGATCAGCTGCCTCCACAAAAAAGATCTTGCATCGATAGACAGAGCAGAAGAGACAACTGCTCAGATTGGCCATGGCAGTATCTACGGGCATCTTTGTCATTTGAAGGCATCGCTCCCTGCCCGGCCAAGGAACTTGACAACATCACTTCTCAGTAAGTTTCACTGCGCTGAAGCGAGAGCTCAGGCCATGTTGCCCTGGGACCGTTGAGGTTGGGTGTGGGAGAAAAAAATGGGAACACTTTAGTGCGCAGCAAACAAGGATTTCTCAGGTAGTTTCAGAGCCACCCACCCCGTGTCCGTCCCTGTGGGTTCTCCGGTCCTTTCTTCCCCAAGCCTTCCTGCACCCAACACAAGTCCCTCTCCCCTCACCATCTTATCTGCTCCCTGCAACCTGCGACCTTGGTCTACCCACACACTGCCCCCTCGCCTCCCAAATGTGGAAATGAGCATGAGCAGGAAAAGTGAAACAAGACATGGGGTTCAGGGACCCCACTTTTGTGAAAATGGCGCTGCTGGGATTCAGAGTGACTTCCAAGCCAAAGATGAGTCATGCACTATGGAGGCACATGGAGGACTCTAGAGACAGGAGAACTGCTGTCTTGCAAGGGGATGGCTGAACACACCCCAGGGAATGCTGGACCTGGAGCCAGAGTCCTGGCTGACTCATAGCATGAAAAGGGAAGGACCCAGGTTGCCAGCATGTGCCCTTCGATAGCTCAGCTGGTAGAGTGGAGGACTGTAGACTAGACGTGTGTAGGCATCCTTAGGTCGCTGGTTCGATTCCGGCTCGAAGGAGGTGCGTGCTATTTTGTCCTGGGCCCATCTGAAGAGCACTACCTGTGACACGGAACAGCCTGCCCTCTGCCTGACCAAATCCTCCCCACAAGGCAATCTCCTCCACACCAGGCTATTGGGAAGCCTTTTTGGACCACATTTAGAAACTACTTTTGTCCTGTCTCGAGGGAACACACCTGCTCCTTCTTCCTGCAGTCCGCATTCACCCAGGCCCTTTAGTGCAAAACCCCGTATCATCCAACCCACTGTCCATTTTATTCCTCCATCTCTCCCTCTCCTGAGAGCCTGTTCTGCCACTACCGTGCCCATGGACAGATCCCTGCCTAACAGGGTGGCAAACATGAACTGTCCATGATATGCCCTGGAGCCCTTAAACATGATCCTGCAGTCCTCACAACAGTGGCGCACAACCCTCAAGATTTGTGCCTTGACGTCCCACAGGTGACCTTCCGGAGCATTCTATGCCTCTGGAGCCACGGACATAACCAAACCCTGAATATCACTTTCTACAGTGAGGGCAGTCAGACACCAAGCTAGAACCATAAGTGTTTCTGGACGAGCTCCCTTACTGGGTGGGATGTGATGGTTTTCAACCCTTGGGAACCCAGCTATTTGCTTTGGAGGTATGGAGAGGCTGGTGGAATCTGGTGACCAGCACATAGAATGGGCTCCCTGGAATGGCTGACTTCTCCTGTATCGACATCACAGAAGGAGGCAAGTGGCCCAGAGGAACTGACCCTCTTCTCCAATGAACCTAGTGTGTACCACACAATTGGGAGGTGAAACACACTCATCTGACACAGCATCTCACCTGCCTCTCACTGGAGGCCACACTGGATGGGAGAGAGTTCATCGAGGGGATGTCCACAGAGTAGCTGGGATCTGGAACTTTTGTAAAAGTCATGCAGTCAGGATGGGGCACCCTGGTGTTCTCTGATGCTCTCCCTGTATTTACAGGGTCTCTCCAATGCACACAGAAGCTTCAGTTACTTCAGAGATCAGCTGCCTCCACAAAAAAGATCTTGCGTCGATAGACAGAGCAGAAGAGACAACTGCTCAGATTGGCCATGGCAGTATCTACGGGCATCTTTGTCAGTTGAGGGCATCGCTCCCTGCCCGGCCAAGGAACTTGACAACATCACTTCTCAGTAAGTTTCAGTGCGCTGAAGCGAGAGCTCAGGCCATGGTGTCCTGGAACTGCTGAGGGTGGGTGTGGGAGACAAAGATGGGAACATTTTAGTGCGCAGCAGACAAGGATTTCTCAGGCAATTTCAAGCCACCCATCCCATGTCCGTTCCTGTGGGTTCTCCGGTCCTTTCTTCCCCAAGCCTTCCTGCACCCAACACAAGTCCCTCTCCCCTCACCATCTTATCTGCTCCCTGCAACCTGCGACCTTGGTCTACCCACACACTGCCCCCTCGCCTCCCAATGGGGGAAATGAGCATGAGCAGGAAAAGTGAAATAAGACATGGGGTTCAGGGACCCCACTTTTGTGAAAATGGCGCTGCTGGGATTCAGAGTGACTTCCAAGCCAAAGATGAGTCATGCACTATGGAGGCACATGGAGGACTCTAGAGACAGGAGCACTGCTCTCTTGCAAGGGGATGGCTGAACACACCCCAGGGAATGCTGGACCTGGAGCCAGAGTCCTGGCTGACTCATAGCATGAAAAGGGAAGGACCCAGGGTGCCAGCATGCGCCCTTCGATAGCTCAGCTGGTAGAGCGGAGGACTGTAGACTAGACGTGTGTAGACATCCTTAGGTCGCTGGTTCGATTCCGGCTCGAAGGAGGTGCAGGCTATTTTGACCCAGGCCCATCTGAAGTGCACTACCTGTGACACGGAACAGCCTGCCCTCTGCCTGACCAAATCCTCCCCACAAGGCAATGTCCTCCACACCGGGCAATTGGGAACGTCTTTTCGGACAACCCTTTGAACCTACTTGGGTCCCGTCGCGGGGGAACACACCTGCACCTTCGTCCTGCAGTCCACGTTCACCACATGCCCTTTAGTACAAAACCCTGTAACATCCAGCCCACTATCTACTTTATTTCTCCATCTCTCCCTCTCCTGAGAGCCTGTTCTGCCACTACCCTGCCCACCATGGGCCGATCCCTGCCTAAAAGGGGGCGAACATGAACTGCCCAGGACAAGCCCTGGAGTCCTACAACATGGTCCTACAGTCATCACAAGTGTGGAAGAAGACAACCATCACATCTTCTTGAAACTCTCCCTCTCAATCTTAGACTTGTCTCCTGACTGATCTCTCTCTCTGTTTTGTCTGACCCATTGGCTGTCCCTCTGTCGGTTTCTCTATCCTTTGTCTTGGAATAGTTTAAAAACATGCAGATTAGAGACAGAAACCCCTCTTTCCTGCCATGCTTTACTTATTTGTGGAGCAGATCTGTCTCTTTGGTATCTTCAAGTTTTCCATAACTGTGTGCCTGCACTGAGGGAGGCTGACACTCACAGGACAAAAATTGCAGCGGTCCTCGGTGGGCCCAGGCAGTCGTGATGAGGACACAGTGGCCTGCTCAGGTTTGCTAGCAGTGCGAGGACAGGGCCTGGAAACAGTAAACTTCACCTTTCCCATGTTTTTATACCTGTTCTGTGCATCGGTTTTGACTTTCTCTTAAATGTCAAGGATTGTTCCTCCACTCTATGACTACGGTACAATTTCTTGCATCCATTCCTCTGCTGCTTATGATGCAGAAAGATAGAAAAAGTAAATCGATGTTTATAAAGAGAGAAAAGGGAGCTTGAACGCAAAAGCACTGATATGGACAGAGCTCAGAGAAAATCCTGAAAGTCAGGGGCAGCGGCCGAAGGCAGGGAACAGAAGAATAGAAGTAGGGGCGGGGATGGGTGGAAGTGGGAGGTGGGCGGTTATCATGCAGGGGCAGCCAGTCACTTCCTACACAGTACACTGTGGGTTCTGACCAGCTGGCTAACATAGTGCTGGGCTTTTAAGGCAAACTGGACAGGGCCTGAAAAGGAAGGTGTAGCTACCGAAGCAGAGATTTCCCACAAGAAAATGGGCTGGCGAGGAGGAGCCAGCTTTCTCTTGGGCATGAACCCTGGTGCAGTGGGTATAACTGGGTTGACAGGGATTATGGGCATGAAGAAGACAATGTGTTTCCTTGGGAAGGAAAGCCTGCAGCCTTGATGTACCATGGAGTACATCAAGAGAGGACTCTCAAGTGACTGTCATGGGGCATGCCTCCTAAAGCTCAGGGGCTAGCCACCATCTCTGACTCCTGAGACCACAAGCCCTTTTTCATCTGGCTCTGTCTTCAAACTGGACATTGTTTTCCCACACATCTTCCTCTCCCTACAACCAGCTCCCAGCATCTACCCTCCCCCTCAGTCTCATTATCCCTAGGGTCCTACTCAATTAGACAGACTGAGCCAGAATCTGTGTAGTCTCCACCATTTCTATGAGATTCGTGTCTTGAAGTCCCAAGGGACCTTCAGGAGGATTCTATGGCTCTGAAGCCACAGACAGATCTCAGTCTTGAATGTCACTCTCTGCAGTAAGGGCAGTCAGGCACCAAAGCTAGAACCATTAACTTTTCTGGATGTGCTCCCTTAATGGTTGGGATGTGGGGGTTTCCAATCCTTGGGAACCCAGCTATTATGCTTTGGATGTATGGAGAGTCTGGTGGACTCTTTTGACGAGCACATAGATGCAATCCCTGGAATGGCTGACTTTTCCTGTATTGGCCATCAGGGAAGGTGGCTAGTTGCCCAGAGGCACTGACCCTCTTCTCCAGTGACCATAGTGTGTCCCACACAGTAGGGGGATGCAACACACTCATTTGAGGCAATATCACACCTGCCTCTCACTGGAGGCTCCACTGGAGGGAGAGAGTTCTTGTGGAGGTGACCACACAGTAGCTGGGATCTGCAACTTTTGTAAAAGTCATGCAGTCAGGACAGAGCACCCTGGTGTTCTCTGATGCTCTCCTTATATTTCCAGGGTCTCTCCAGTGTGCACAGAGCTTAAGTTACGTCGAGAGTATCTGCCTACACAAAAAGGATCTCAGGTTGGTGGGTAGACAGAAGAGCCAACTGCTCAGATTAGCCATGGCAGTATCTATGGGCATCTTTGTCAATTCAGGGCATCGCTCCCTGCCGGGCCAAAGAATTTGACAACAGCACTTCTCAGTAAGTTTCACCGTGCTGCAGCAAGAGCTCAGACCATGGTGGTCCTGGGACAGGTGAGGTTGGGTGTGGGAGACAAAGATGGGAACACTTTAGTGCCCAGCAAACAAGGATTTCTCAGGTAGTTTCAAGTCACCCACCCCATGTTCAATCCTGTGGGTTCCCCTGTCCTTTCTTCCACAAACCTTCCACACCCAACACAAGTCCCTCTCCCCTAACCATCTTATATGCTCCCTGCTACTGATGACCTTTGCAACCCACACATCTACCCCCTCACCTCCCAAATGGGGAAATGGGCATAGCAGGAAAAGTGAAACAAGACGTGGGAGTCAGGGGCCCCAACTTTTTGAAAATCACGCTGTTGGGATTCAGAGTGGCTCCTAAGCCAAAGATGAGTCATGCGCTAGGGAGGCACATGGAGGACTCTAGAGACAGGAGCACTGCTCTCCTGCAAGGAATCGCTGAACACACCCCAGGGAATGCTGGACCTGGAGCCAGAGTCCTGGCTGACTCATAGCATGAAAAGGGAAGGACCCAGGTTGCCAGCATGCGCCCTTCGATAGCTCAGCTGGTAGAGCGGAGGACTGTAGACTAGACGTGTGTAGGCATCCTTAGGTCGCTGGTTCGATTCCGGCTCGAAGGAGGTGCGTGCTATTTTGACCCAGGCCCATCTGAAGTGCACTACCTGTGACACAGAACAGCCTGCCCTCTGCCTGACCAAATCCTCCCCACAAGGCAATCTCCTCCACACCAGGCAATTGGGAAGTATTTTCAGACAACCCTTTGAAACTACTTGGGTCCCGTCGCGGGGGAACACACCTGCACCTTCTTCCTGCATTCGATGTTCACCCACAGGCCCTTTAGTTCAAAACCCCAAACATCCAGCCCACTATCCACTTTATTTCTCCATCTCTCCCTCTCCTGAGAGCCTGTTCTGCCACTACCTTGCCCGTCATGGGCAGATCCCTGCCTAACAGGGTGGCAAACATGAACTGTCCAGGATATGCCTGGAGCCCTCAAACATGGTCCTACAGTCCTCACAACAGTGGCGGACAACCCTCAAGATTTGTGCCTTGACGTCCCACAGGTGACCTTCTGGAGGATTCTATGCCTCTGGAGCCACGGACATAACCAAACCCTGAATGTCACTTTCTACACTGAGGGCAGTCAGACACCAAGCTAGAACCATAAGTGTTGCTGGATGCGCTCCCTTACTGGGTGGGATGTGATGGTTTTCAACCCTTGGGAACCCAGCTATTTGCTTTGGAGATATGGAGAGGCTGGTGGAATCTGGTGACCAGCACATAGAATGGGCTCCCTGGAATGGCTGACTTCTCCTGTATCGACATCACAGAAGGAGGCAAGTGGCCCAGAGGAACTGACCCTCTTCTCCAATGAACCTAGTGTGTACCACACAATTGGGAGGTGCAACACACTCATCTGACACAGCATCTCACCTGCCTCTCACTGGAGGCCACACTGGATGGCAGAGAGTTCATCGAGGGGATGTCCACAGAGTAGCTGGGATCTGGAACTTTTGTAAAAGTCATGCAGTCAGGACGGGGCACCCTGGCGTTCTCTGATGCTCTCCCTGTATTTACAGGGTCTCTCCAATGCACACAGAAGCTTCAGTTACTTCAGAGATCAGCTGCCTCCACAAAAAAGATCTTGCGTCGATAGACAGAGCAGAAGAGACAACTGCTCAGATTGGCCATGGCAGTATCTACGGGCATCTTTGTCAGTTGAAGGCATCGCTCCCTGCCCGGCCAAGGAACTTGACAACATCACTTCTCAGTAAGTTTCACTGCGCTGAAGCGAGAGCTCAGGCCTTGTTGCCCTGGGACCGTTGAGGTTGGGTGTGGGAGAAAAAAATGGGAACACTTTAGTGCGCAGCAAACAAGGATTTCTCAGGTAGTTTCAGAGCCACCCACCCCGTTTCCGTTCCTGTGGGTTCTCCGGTCCTTTCTTCCCCAAGCCTTCCTGCACCCAATACAAGTCCCTCTCCCCTCACCATCTTATCTGCTCCCTGCAACCTGCGACCTTGGTCTACCCACACACTGCCCCCTCGCCTCCCAAATGTGGAAATGAGCATGAGCAGGAAAAGTCAAACAAGACATGGGGTTCAGGGACCCCACTTTTGTGAAAATGGCGCTGCTGGGATTCAGAGTGACTTCCAAGCCAAAGATGAGTCATGCACTATGGAGGCACATGGAGGACTCTAGAGACAGGAGCACTGCTCTCTTGCAAGGGGATGGCTGAACACACCCCAGGGAATGCTGGACCTGGAGCCAGAGTCCTGGCTGACTCATAGCATGTAAAGGGAAGGACCCAGGGTGCCAGCATGCGCCCTTCGATAGCTCAGCTGGTAGAGCGGAGGACTGTAGACTAGACGTGTGTAGGCATCCTTAGGTCGCTGGTTCGATTCCGGCTCGAAGGAGGTGCGTGCTATTTTGTCCTGGGCCCATCTGAAGAGCACTACCTGTGACACGGAACAGCCTGCCCTCTGCCTGACCAAATCCTCCCCACAAGGCAATCTCCTCCACACCAGGCTATTGGGAAGCCTTTTTGGACCACATTTAGAAACTACTTTTGTCCTGTCTCGAGGGAACACACCTGCTCCTTCTTCCTGCAGTCCGCATTCACCCAGGCCCTTTAGTGCAAAACCCCGTATCATCCAACCCACTGTCCATTTTATTCCTCCATCTCTCCCTCTCCTGAGAGCCTGTTCTGCCACTACCGTGCCCATGGACAGATCCCTGCCTAACAGGGTGGCAAACATGAACTGCTCATGATATGCCCTGGAGTCCTACAACATGGTCCCACGGTCATCACAAGAGTGTCAGACAACCACCACATCTTCTTGAAAACTCTCCCTCTCAATCTTAGACTTGTCTGGTGACTGATGTCTCTGTTTTCTCTGACCCTATGGCAGTCCCTCTCCCTGTTTCTCTTTCCTTTGTCTTGGAAAGTTTGTAAACATGTAGATGAGAGACAGAAACCCCTTTTCCTGCCATGCTTTGCCTATTTGTGGAGCAGATCTGTCTCTTTGGTATCTTCTAGTCATTGCCATAACTGTGCCCGCATCGAGGGAGGCTGAAACTAGTAGGACGGAAAGGCAGCAGCTCTCAGTGGGCACTTGCAGTCATGATGAGGACTCAGTGGTCTGCTCAGGTTTGCTCTCAGATGGAGGACAGGGCCTGGCAACAGTAAATTTCAATTTCACATGTCTTCATACCTGTTCTTGTGGGTGTGTTTTGGCTCCTTAAATATCAAGGACTGTTCCTACTTCTGTGACTGTGGTACAACCTCTTGCATCAATTCCTCTGCTGCTTCTGATGCAGAAAGATAGAAAAAGAAATATAGATTTTTATAAAGAGGAAAAAGGGAGCTTGAACACAAAAGTACTGTTATGGACAGAGCTCAGAGAGAAACTGAAAATCAGGGGCAGAGGCTGAGGCAGGGAATAGAAGAGTAGAAGTAAGGGCGGGGAGTGGGTGGAAGTGGGAGGTGGGCAGTTATCATGCAGGGGCAGCCAGTCACGTCCTACACAGTACACTGTGGGTTTTGACCAGCTGGCTAACCTTAGTGCTGGAATTTTAAGGCAAACTGGACAGGGACTGAAAAGCAAGATGCAGCTACCCAAAAAGAGATTTCCCAAGAGAAAATGGGCTGACCAAGATGGAGCCAGCTTACCTTGGGGATGACCTGGTTTCATGGGGTGAGCTGTGGTGGCCAGGATAACGGGCTCAAAGAAGGCCAAGGAGTAGATACTGTTGGGTTGCATCACAGAGAGGACTCTCAGGGGACTCATAGTGCATGGCTTCTAAAGCTCTGGGGCTAGGCCACCTTCTCTGACCTCTGAGACCACAAACTCTTTTTCAGTTCTCGTTCTGCCTTCAAACTGGACATTGTTTTCCCACACATCATCCTCTCCTGACAGCCTGCTCCCAGCCTCCACCCTCCCCTTTCAGTTCATCATTCCCTAGGGTCCTACAACATTAGAAGACAAAGCCAGAGTCTGTACAATCTCCAACATTTCTGGGAGGTTTGTGCCTTCATGTCCCATAGTTGACCTTCAGGAGGATTCTGGCTCTGTAGCCACAGACAGATCCCAGCCTTGAGTGCCACTCTCTGCAGTGAGAGCAGTCAAACACCAAAGCTACAATCAGAAGCTTTCATTAGATGTGCTCCCTTAATGGGTGGGATGTGGGGGTTTCCAATCATTGAGGACACAGCTGTTGTGCTGTGGAGGTATGGAGAGGCTGGTGGACTCTGGTGACCAGCACATAGAATGCAATCCCTGCCATGGCTGACTTTTCCTGTTTCAGACATCACAGAAGGTGGCAAGGGGCCCAGAGGCACTGACCCTCTTCTCCAACGAGCATAGTGTGTGCCACACAGTAGGGGGATGCAACACACTCATTTGAGGCGGTATCTCACCTGCTTCTCACTAGAGGCCACACTGCATGGGAGAGAGTTCTTGGGGTGATGACCACACAGTAACTGGGATCTGCAACATTTGTAAAAGTTGTTGAACCAGTCAGGGGAACCCGGTGTTTGTTGATGCTCTCCTTATATTTCTGGGGTCTCTCCAGGGCGCGCACAGAAGTATAAGCTACTTCAGAGAGTATCTGCCTCCACCAAAGGATTTTGGGTGGATGAGCAGAGCCAAGTCCTCAGATTGGCCATGGCAGTACTATGGGTATCTCTGTCGATTCCTGGGCATAGCTCTCTCTGGGTGTGTCTGTCGAATCCTAGGCATAGCTCTCTGTCCTTCCAATGAGCCTTTCTCCATCACTTCTCAGTAAGTTTAACAGCGCTGAAGAGACAGCTCAGATTATGGTAGTCCTGGGACAGGTGAGGTGGGGTTGGGAGACAAAGGATGGGAACACTTTAGTGCCCAGCAAACAAGGCTTTTTAGGTAGGTTCGCAGCCACCTACCCAGTGTCCATTCCGGTGGGTTCCCCCGTCCTTTCTCCCCAAGAATTCCCCCACCCGACACAAGTCCCTCTCCCTTCACATTCTTCTCTGTTTCCTGCTACCGACAACCTTGGTGTACCCATGCATCCTGCCCCCTCGCCTCCCAAATGTAGAAATGGGCATGAGCAGGAAAAGTAAAGCAAGACATGCAGCCAGGTGTCCCACCTTTTTGACAATCATGCTACTGGGACTCAGAGTGGCTTCCAAGTCAAAGCATGAGTCACACACTGTGGAGACACTTGTAGGACTCTAGAGATGGGAGAACTGCTCTCCTGCAAGGGGATCGCTGAACACACCCCAGGGAATGCTGGACCTGGAGCCAGAGTCCTGGCTGACTCATATCATGAAAAAGTAAGGACCCAGGTTGCCAGCATGCGCCCTTCGATAGCTCAGCTGGTAGAGCGGAGGACTGTAGACTAGACGTGTGTAGGCATCCTTAGGTCGCTGGTTCGATTCCGGCTCGAAGGAGGTGCGTGCTATTTTGTCCTGGGCCCGTCATGAAGTGCACTACCTAAGACATTTAGATAACGCCCTCCCCTCTGTTTGTCCAAATCCTCCTCGTAAGGCAAACTCCTCCTCACTGGCTAATGGGAACACTTTTCGGGGAATGGTTTGAAACTCTTGTATCCTGTCGTGGGGACACACCTGCACCTTCTTCCTATAGTCCACGTTCACCCACTCCCACTTAGTGCAAAACCCCATAACATCCAACCCACTTTGAATTTTATTCCTCATACTCTCCCTCTCCTGAGAGTCACTTCAGCCACTACTGCAATCCCACCATAGACCCATCCCCACTTAAAAGGTGGGAAAGCATGAACTGCCCACGACAAACCCTGGAGTCCTACAAGATGGTCCTACAGTCCATCACAAGTGTCGTGGACAACTATACCATCCTTCTTGAAAACTCTCCCTCTCAATCTTAGACTTGTCTAGTGACTGATCTCTGTCTCTGTTTTGTCTGACTCTATGGCAGTCCCTATGTCTGTTTCTCTCCTTTGTCTTTGGAATAGTTTGTAAAAAGGTAGATTAGAGACAAAAACACCTCTAACTTGCCATGTTTTCCATTTTGTGGAACATATCTATCTCTTTGTTATCTTCAAGTCATTGCCATAACTGTGCCTGTGTTGAGGGAGGCTGACACTAGCAGGACAGAAATGCAGCGACCCTCAATGGGCCCAGGCAGTCGTGATGAGGACTCAGCGGCCTGCTCAGGTTTGCTCGCAGTGCAGGACAGGGCCTGGAAACAGTAAACTTCACCTTTCACATGTCTTCATACCTGTTCTGTGCGTGGGTTTTGACTTTCTCTTAAAGATCAAGGATTGTTCCTACTCTGGTGACTGTGATACAATCTCTTGCATCCATTCCTCTGCTGCTTATGATGCAGAAAGATAGAAAAAGTAATATATATGTTTATAAAGAGACAAAAGGGAGCTTGAACACAAAAGCACAGATATGGACAGAGCTCAGAGAGAACCCTGAAAATCAGGGGCAGAAGCAGAAGGCAGGAAATAGAAGAGTAGAGGTAAGGGCGGGGGTAGGTGGAAGTGGGAGGTGGGCAGTTATCATGCAGGGGCAACCAGTCACATCCTACACAGTACACTGTGGGTTCTGACTAGCTGGCTAACTTTAGTGCTGGAATTTTAAGGCAAACTGGACAGGGCCTGAAAAGGAAGATGCAGCTACCAAGAGATTTCCCACGAGAAAATGGGCTGGCTAGGATGGAGCCAGCTTTCTTTTTGGCATGAACCCTTGTACAGTGGTTAGAGCTGGGGTGACAGGGATTATGAGAATGAAGACCATGTGTTTCCTTGGGAAGGAAAGTCTGCAGCCTTGATGTACAGTGGAGTGTATCACAGAGAAGACTCTCAGGGGACTGTCCTGGGGCATGCCTCCTAAAGCTCTGGGGCTTGGACAACATCTCTGACCTCTGAGACCACAAGCTCTTTTTCATCTAGTTCTGCCTTCAAACTGGACAATGTTTTCCCACACATCTTCCTCTCCCTACAACCTGCTCCCAGTGTCCACCCTCCTGACTCAGTCTTATCATTCCTAGGGTCCTACTAAATTAGACAGACTGAGCCAGAGTCTGTGTAGTCTCCCCCATTTCTATGAGATTCATACCTTGAAGTCCTACAGGTGACCTTCAGGAGGATTCTATGCCTCTGTAGACACAGACATATCCCAGTCTTGAATGTCACTCTCTGCAGTGAGGGCAGTCAGGCACCAAAGCTAGAACCATAAGCTTTTCTGGATATGCTTCCTTACTGGGTGGGATGTGGGGTTTCCAACCCTTGGGAACCCAGCTATTGTGCTTTGGAGGTATGGAGAGGCTGGTGGACTCTGGTGACCAGCACATAGAATGAGCTCCCTGGAATGGCTGACTTATCCTGTCTCAGACATCACAGAAAGTGGCAAGGGGCCCAGAGGCACTGACCCTCTTCTCCAATGACCATAGTGTGTCCCACACAGTAGGGGGATGCAACACACTCATTTGATGCAGTATCTCACCTGCCTCTCACAGGAGGCCACACTGGATGGGAGAGAGTTCTTGAGGTGGTGACCACACAGTAGCTGGGATCTGCAACTTTTGTAAAAGTCATGCAGTCAGGACAGGGTCCCTGGTGTTCTCTGATGCTCTCCCTATATTTCCAGGGTCTCTCCAGTGTGCACAGAAGCTTCAGTTACTTCAGATAGCAGCTGCCTCCACCAAAGGAATACGCATCGTGGGCAGGGCAGAAATCCAACTGCTCAGGTTGGCCATGGCAGTATCTATGGGCATCTTTGTCGAATCAGGGCATAGCTCCCTGCCCATCCAACGAACTTAACTCCATCACGTCTCAGTAAGTTTTAGAGTGCCAAAGAGAGCTCAGATTATGGTAGTCCCAGGACAGGTAAGGTGGGGGTGGGAGACAAAGAACGGGGATACTTTAGTGCGCAGCAAACAAGGATTTCTCAGGTAGTTTCACACCCACCCACCCTGTGTCCATTCCTGTGGGTTCTCTGGTCCTTGCTTCCCCAAGCCTTCCCCTACCCAACACAAGTCTCTCTCCCTTCACCATCTTATCTGCTCCCTGCAACCTGCGACCTTGGTCAACCCACGCAAATTGCCCCCTCGCCTCCCAAATGTGGAGATGGGCATGAGCAGGAAAGTGAAACAAGACATGGGAGTCAGGGGCCCCACCTTTTTGAAAATCATGCTGCTGGGATTCAGAGTGGCTTCCAAGCCAAAGCATGAGTCACGCGCTGAGGAGGCACATGTAGGACTCTAGAGACAAGAGAACTGCTCTCTTGCAAGGGGATCGCTGAACACACCCCAGGGAGCCAGACCCAGAGTCCTGGCTGACTCATATCATGAAAAAGTAAGGGCCCAGGTTGCCAGCATGCACCCTTCGATAGCTCAGCTGGTAGAGCGGAGGACTGTAGACTAGACGTGTGTAGGCATCCTTAGGTCGCTGGTTCGATTCCGGCTCGAAGGAGGTGCGTGCTATTTTGACCTGGGCCCATCTGAAGTGCACTACCTGTGACACAGAACAGCCTCCCCTCTGCTTGACCAAATCCTCCCCACAAGGCAATCTCCTCCACACTGGGCAATTGGGAAGTCTTTTCGGACAACCCTTTGAAGCAACTTGCGTCCTTTGCAGGGGAGCACACCTGCACCTTCTTCCTGTAGTTCACGTTTACCCACCGGCCCTTTAGAGCAAAACCCTGTATCATCCAACCCACTATCCATTTTATTTCTCCATCTCTCCCTCTCCTGAGAGCCTGTTTTGCCACTACCTTGGCCACCATGGACAGATCCCTGCCTAACAGGTGGACAAACATTAACTGCCAAGGACAAGCCCTGGAGTCCTACAGCATGGTCCTACAGTCATCACAAGAGTGGCAGACAACCGTCACATCTTCTTGAAAACTCTCCCTCTCAATCTTAGACTTGTCTCTTGACTGATCACTGTCTCTGTTTTGTCTGACCCTATAGCAGTTCCTCTGTCTATCTCTCTATTCTTTGTCTTAGAATAGTTTGTAAACATGTAGAGACAGAAACCCCTCTTTCCTGCCATGCTTTACCTATTTGTGGAACAGATCTGTCTCTTTGGCATCTTCAAGTTTTCCATAACTGTGTGCCTGCGTCGAGGGAGGCTGACACTAGCGGGACAGAAATGCAGCATGCCTCAGTGAGCCCAGGCAGTTGTGATGAGGACTCAGTGGCCTGCTCAGGTTTGCTCTCAGTGTGAGGACAGGGGCTGGCACCAGTAAACTTCACCTTTCACATGTCTTCATACTCTGTGCTTGGGTTTTGGCAATCTGGACAGGGCCTGAAAAGGAAGATGTAGCTACCCAAACAGAGATTTCCCAAGGAAAATGTGCTGGCTAGGATGGAGTCATCTTCATCCTGGGCATGGAGCCTGGGTTCGGGGTTAGAGCTTGGGTGACAGGGATTATGGGCATGAAGAAGACATGTGGCCTTGGGAAGGAAAGTCTGGAGCCTTGATGTATAGTGGGGTGCATCACAGAGAGGTCTCTCAGGGGACTGTCCTGGGGCATGCCTCCTAAATCTCTGGGACCAAAGTATGAGTCACGCACTATGGAGGCACATGTAGGACTCTAGAGACAGGAGAACTGCTCCCTGCAAGGGGATGGCTGAACACACCCCAGGGAATGCTGGACCTGGAGCCAGAGTCCTGGCTGACTCATATCATGAAAAAGTAAGGACCCAGTTTGCCAGCATGCGCCCTTCGATAGCTCAGCTGGTAGAGCGGAGGACTGTAGACTAGACATGTGTAGGCATCCTTAGGTCGCTGGTTCGATTCCGGCTCGAAGGAGGTGCATGCTATTTTGACCTGGGCCCATCTGAAGTGCACTACCTGTGACACAAAACAGCCTCCCCTCTGCCTGACCAAATCCTCCCCACAAGGCAATCTCCTCCACACTGGGTAATTGGGAACGTCTTTTCGGACAACCCTTTGAAACTACTTGTGTCCTGTCGTGGGGGAACACACCTGCACCTTCTTCCTGCATTCGATGTTCACTCACAGGCCCTTTAGTGCAAAACCCCGTATCATCCAACCCACTATCCACTTTTTTCCTCCATCTCTCCTTCTCCTGATAGCCCGTTCTGCCACTACCTTGCCCACCTTGGACAGATCCCTGCCTAACATGGGCAAACATAAACCAAAGAAATTCGGGTCCCTGTGCAGAGCAGGAGAGCCAGCTCCTCACATTTGCCATGGCCGAATATGGGTGTCTTTGTGGATTCCTGGGCATAGCTCCCTGCCCATATAAGGAGCTTTTATCCATCACTTCTCAGTAAGTTTCAGTGCGCTGAAGAGTGAATTCAGATCATGGTGGTCCGCAGAACAAGTAAGGTTGGGATTGTGGAGTCAATGAATGGGGACACTTTGTCCCCAGAAAGCAAGACTTTCTCAGGTAGGGACGCAGCCACCTACCCGGTGTCCATTCCAGTGAGTTCTCTTTCCTTTCTCTCGCAAGCCTTCCTCCAGCAGACACAAGTCCCTCTCCCCTCACCGTCTCTTCTGCTCCCTGCTACCAACGACCTTAGTCAACCCACGCGGCCCGCCCCCCTTGCCTCCCAAATGTAGGAATGGGCGTGAGCAGGAAAAGCGAACAAGACATAGGAATCAGGGGCTCCACATCTTTGAAAATTGAGCTGCTGCGATTTAGGGTCGCTTCCAAGCAATAGCATGAGCCACGCGCGGAGGATTTGCTCCACCCGCCCGGGAAGGGGCGCTGTGGAAGCCCATGTGAGACTGGGGGCAGGAGAACCGCTCTCTTGCAGGGGAGCGCCCAACACCGTCCAGGGAATGCTGGAGCTGAGTCATTTCCTGAAAGAGTAAGCACCCAGCTTGCTAGCATGCGCCCTTCGATAGCTCAGCTGGTAGAGCGGAGGACTGTAGACTAGACGTGTGTAGGCATCCTTAGGTCGCTGGTTCGATTCCGGCTCGAAGGAGGTGCGCGATGTTTTTACCCTGCCCCACTTGAAGCACATCATCCCCTAGCACCCAGCTATAAACCAGCTCTCCCTTCCAGGTAAAGTGGGTTTTGGCCTGGCACCTTCCTACTTCTCACAATGAAAGGCAGAGGCCCCGCTATAATGCTGTGTGTGCCCAATCCAGGGAATTTACCCTACCTTCTCTCCTCACTTAATAGACACGCGACCCTTCAATGCAAACAGTCCGGTTTGGCTACTTACTGCCTATTTCACCCACCATTTCTCTTAACAACCGAAGCCCTTCAGCTTTTATTCGCCCATTGGTCCCTCTCCTGAGCATTCACTGCCACCATCCCATTGCTCACCACGGATGGATCCTTGCCAAACCCGGATGGAGGTGGGGGGCAAAAAGGAGGAGTAACTCAGGACAGACCCTGGAGTACTGCAAGTGCACAAGCCACCCCACTGGACAAGGACTTTCTTTGCTCTATCATTCTCTGTATTGGTGATGTATCTTGAGGTTTGAGAAAGAGAGAAGACAATTTAAGAGAATTCCCTGTTTCTTTGGCACAGACTGGTGATCTGCAGGAGGATTCTATATCTTTGCATCCAGGAAGAGATTCCTGCCTTTAGTGTCACCACATTTAGAAATTAGCAAAGCAGGGTTGATGATGGAATCTTAGACCTTTGTTGGTGTAGGAAAACCAGTGACTCCATCTTGTACCCACACCACTCTGAACCTGTGTGTAATACACTTGGGTCTACATTTTGCCTGCCTGATCTAGTATTGCATACACATTGGAATATCTTGGGACATTTTATGGCAAAATCCCCATATTTAAATATCAGAGCCTGGCCAAGCCAAAATCATTGAACACTTTACAGATAAATAAAATCCTCTAAAGGAAGAATGGGGTGAGGCCCTAGAAGCTGGTAACCACAAGAAATAACATGGTGACTCATCCTCCTCAGGATTGAAGCGCACCCCACCCCCTTTTATTAATTTTTTTTACAAGGCAGAAGAACAGGGTCTGAGAAACCACACCTGGAAGGAAAGATTAAAAAACAAGTAGTTTTTTTAGGAGGTGTTTCTCCTTGTTTTCCCATGTGCTTTTCCCATTGTTACAGTCTCATTGTCTCACTATATGTCAGATAAGGGCAGGCAGGCGTCACAAAACTGGCAGATGGGTTCCTGTCTCTATGTCTTATGTCTCTATGAAGATGAAGTCCACCTTCAACTGCAACACTGTCCCAGTAGATAGGAAGTACTGCTCTTTTTACAGGTCAGTTTTTTCTTCTTCTCATCTTAATATTTTCCTGAAAATATTAGAAGCCCAAAAAGGTCATCTTTGAAATAACCAGCATAATCAATTCCAGTCTCCCCACTCTTACCTCCACATAAACTCTTTGAATCAGTCAAAATATGTAATGTTTCCTAGGCTTACCAATGGTGGAATATCAACTCAATAGAATACTACACAGCTATGAAGAAAGATGAAATAGTGGCATTTGGGGAAAATGGATGGACTTTGAGGTAATTATGTTATGTGAATTAACTTAAAAAGTGAAAGACATCTATTTGATGCTTTCACTCATCTATGGAATGTAAATAACCAAAAACACACACAGGCGAAATACAGTAGTAATAAATCTTGAACTCAGTGAAAGAATATGAATGATTACCAGAGGGAACAGGAGAGAGGGAAGAGATGGGAGAGGGAGGCAGATGGGGTTTTGGCTCAGGTGGGTTGGTAGAACCTGTGTAAAAAAAAAAATTAAACTGGAATGCTCTATATGTGTCTTTTAGGTCCAGTTGGTTGCAGTGTTGAAGTCTTCTAGTTCCTTATTTATCTCTATCTAGTTTTTTCTTTTTTGTTTGTTTGTTTTTTTATTTATTTTTTATATCATTTTTCATTTTTAAACAATATTTGCTTCCCCCCCTCCTCAGGTGTAGTCCCCATAGAATTTCCTTCCCCAATGCACCCGTGTACCATCACCACAGCCCCCTGTGTTACTCCCTCCCTCCCTCTGATCCCTCTCCCTCCTCTTTTCTATCCATTATCAAGAATGGGTTACTGAAGTCTCCAACTACTGTAGAACTTTTCAAATCTTTTGTTCATTTAAAAAATTAGTTGTTGGTTTTCTTAGTAATATGTTTTAAGAGCTCCTAATATACTCTAAAGACAAATCCATTATTAGATATGTAATTATAGTATATTCTTCCCAGTCTATGGTGTATCTATTCATTGTCTTATCAGTGCTTTCTTTTGAGAAAGAAAACTTCTAATTTTGACAAGGTTCAATTTATCAATTTAAGTGTATAATCCATTTTGACTTAAGTTTTATATATGATCTAAGATGTAGATGAAAGACCATTTTATGTATATGGAGATCCAGACGTCCCCAGGTTTGTTGAACAGTTTGTATTCTTTTAAAAATTCTATTTCTCTTTTGTTTCCCTCTATTCTATTTCATACCTTTATGCCACTTAATATTTCTGTCATATATTGTCATCTCTTAGTTCTATGTTCTAGAAGATTGTCTTTAGTTAATACATCTATAACTAGTATGTATACACTGTTAGTTTTGATACTATCATTAGAAACTAAAGAAACCTTTGGATCTTAGAAGCTATTTTCTCATAACCACTGTTCTTGATTTATGAACATTTAAATTATATTATTAACACAAATTTGAAAATTTTAAAAATCATTTCTCTTATTTGGTTTGAAATAATTATTTGAAATAATTTTTATTGAGTAACATTGTTTTATAACTTTGATTTTTATTAAGTTACAGGTTTTCTTTAAAATCTCTTATTTTATTTTGCTCTTCCCTTCCACACTGTGGTTATAGTCAGTTCAGATCATATTTGGGTGTCAGTTAAAATATATGCTTAAAAGACTGTGGAGTAAGTATCTCTCTCTTTTTTTTTGTATTTTAGATTTGCACTGTTTTTCTCTATTCTTTTATCTGCTGTTTTTTTTCTTTTGGAATTTCCTTCTATACACAGATTAGGTAATGGCACCTTGTCTTGTTTCCCTATGTTGTTATGTCATTTTCAAAAAGTGAAAAGAAAAGACGAGAAAAGAAAGATTTAAAAAGCAAGTTTTATCTCATTTTAAGGAATGTGTCATAATGGAAAAGATAGACTTCCATACTAATTGTATTATTTTAATCCAACCTCTCCCCTTTCTCAACAGTGATTCTGTGTGTATGCCTATGTTTCTTTATTTCCTCCATTGCTTTTGGATCAGAAGAAGATTGTTGCTGAGAGGGTTGAATTCCTCTTGGAATTGGTAATTTATAATAGTTTATATTTCCTGGTCTGAGAAGCCCACCTGGTATTTACATTCCCTTGTGGCTGGTGTTTAATTTTGAGGAATTGGAATTGCCATCTGACATTCATTAATTTTTAACTGAAGAAATCTTGTATTTCTAAAAATGTAGTCTTTAAATAGATAACTGATTGTTTCTACATATTTCTGAAGCTTCTTTATTATGAAAAATTTCCAAAATACTGAAAGTAGAGATAACATTGTGATGAACCACGGTATAACCAAGGCATAGTTCCATGAATTACCAATTCGTGGTCAGGATAATGTTATCTAAACCTCCACTTGCTTTGTTTTGAAACAAATACCAGATATCGTACCATTTTGTTATAACTTATTTTTTAAAACATTTATTTATTTATACATACAAGACATGTGGTACAGGCCAGAGATACGGGGGGTGAGAGGATTCACCAGAGACAGAGTGGGGAACAGAAAAGCAGATCTACTGAAATACACTACTGAGGGGAGCAGCGGGCGAGACAGGAGAGGTCTCCTGCACCATGTGGATTGCTCCCTGGCTGGCCAGGGATCGAATTCATGCCGCAGAGACTGTGGATTGCTTCAAAGTGTTTTGCTTAACCCCCTGCACCACCAGGGAGGCCTTATAACTTATTTTTACTCACAAAGTGATAATTAAATTTTTTGAAACAATTTCTATAACAATAGGATTTTTATTGATAGGAAAAGCTGAAGACAAAGATAATAAAAATGATTAAAGCAGAAATATAATTCAAGAGTGTTTCAACTCATTCATTAAACAGATTTGTCAAGGTAATATACTCTCCTTATTTTATTTTTCCTGACTGAAAAAATATTTATTATCTGCCTGTTATGTCTCAGGCTTTTTTTCTGTTTTTTTAAGAAAAAATAAAAAACCAAAAACAAACAAAACAACAACAAAAAACACAGAATACCTACTACCATCTCTTATATCCCCTTCATCCAATCTCCTCCCCACTTCCACAGATATTCTCTTCATGTCTGGTAACCTCAGTTTGGTTATCATTGTCCACTGGTGTTTTGTTTATTTAGTTTTTTGCTTTGCTAGGTCATCTGCTTTGTTATCTTATATTATCCATGAATGTGAAATCATCCAATATTTGTCTTTATTTTTCTAGCTAACTTCACTTTGTATAGTTCCCTGTGTATAGTTCCATTTTGTTGCAAATGGAAGAATTTCATCTTTCCCTATAACTGAATACTGTTTCTTTGTGTATATCTATATCTATATATCTATATATAGATATAGATATTATTTCTTTATCTAATGATCTGTCAGTGGACATTTACTTTGCATCCATATCTTAGCTATTGTAAATAATGCCGCAATAAACATTGTAGAGCATATAATTTTTCAAGTTGATTGTTCCTGTTCTTGGGATAAATACCAAGAAGTAGAACTTCTGGAATACATGTTATTTCTACTTTTAATTTTTTAAAGAAAGGTCCAGGCTTCTTTCTAAAATAGCTATAACAGTTTATGGTCCCATCAGTAGTATAGGTTTCCTCATTTTCTACATCCTTTCCAACACTTGTTGTTATTGGTTTTCATTCTCAGATGTGAGAAGATATCTCATTGAGGTTTGATTTGCATTTCTCTTATTAGAAATGATGATGAGCATATTTTCATGTGTCTGTTGACCCTTTCCGTAACCTCTTTGAAAAAGTGTCTATTTAGATATTCTGCCCTTTCAAAAACTGGATTGTTTGACTTTTTGTTGTTAAGTTAGATGAGTTCTTTTTATACGTTGGCTATTAACTTCTTGTTAGTTGTGTGATATGTAAATATCTTCTTCAATTAGTAGGCTGTTTTTATCTGCTAATATTTTCTTTCACTGTGCAACACTTTTTAATTTGAAGTAGTTTTAATTTGTTTTTGCTTTTGCTTCCCTTCTGCAGGTATTTAGACCCCCAAAACTTCTTTAACATTTGTGTCATAGAATTTGTCACATATGCTTTCTTCTATATATTTTATGTTTTGGGGTTTTATATCCAAGTCTGTGATCCATTTTGAATTTACTTCTCTGTATGGAGTTACAGAATGATTCAGTTTCATTTTTTTACATGTGGCTACACAGTTTTCCCAACACTATTTGTTGAAAAGATTTTCCTTTCTTCGTTGCACGGTCATGGCTCCTTTGTCATAAATTAATTGTTGATATAAGCATTTAATTTAAATATTTTCCTTCTGTTCTCTATTTGCAGGCAGGGAATGTTTTCCAGGGTATCTTAAAAGCAAAAAAACAAGATTCAAGTCTGTGTAAGAAAGTCACAGGTAAATAACTAAACCTTTTGACATTTTCCTTACACTCACACACACACACACAAACACACACACATGCACATACAAACTAGAAGGATGCACAATAAAATAGTGAAAATGGTTACTTAGGGAAGAGGTATAGGGTGAATGGGGAGTAAGAGAGCTAGAACTTTTTAATCTATACATTGTTATATATATGTATGTATTTTCTTTTTTGAGTTGTATAAGTTATATGGTTTAAAAATAAAGAAAACTTTTTCTTCTAAAATGCTCTATTTTTTGCAAAGTTAGGATATTCCTATGATCAAGTTAATTTGAAAGTATTTTAAGCTATGTAATTTTTTTGATTACCTGATTTTTATTTTATCTTTCTGCTTAATCCTTAGAAGGATTAACTTCACTAATTAAAACTAATTCTTAATTAAAAATTTAAGGCTTGACTGGCTTAAGTGTGCTTTACTAGCTGTCAGACTTCACAGGTCTCCTTCTGCTTAGACCTTTCCCTCTCGTAGCTCAACAAATAAGAGCTTTAGTTTCTAGTTTAGTTTTGTTCGCCTTAGCTCAGACAATTCTACCAGTCTCTGCTCCCAGGACTGGGAAGTGATAACACGTCTCATGCTTCAGCCATATTTCCATTCAGGTATTTTCTTTTCTCTTAAAAGGAGTATGTCCAAAAGGATGAATGTCAATGAAACTGAGTCCCAGAAGGACCCTTGACCTCTCAGTTCAAGACTTAACTGATGGTCATCTCACAAGAAGATCTACTCTTCACGTCTGGGATTCAGAGTTTAGTTCATATATCATCAATCAAGTGCCTAATGTGTACCAGGCACTGTGCTTGGTGCTGGAAATACAGAGATGAAAATGCAGTTCGTACTCTGGGAGTTCAGAGTCTAGGAAGGAACACAAATGAGAAGCAGAGTTCCAAGGCAATGGATTAAGTCTCAATAATGAGGTCAGCAGAACCTGCCGCGGTTTAGGTTGGAGAGCGGTTGGGGGGTGGAGTGAAAGAGAATGGGCAGGGGAAGCTTCTCCTTATGCCAGAATAACCTCAGATTTAGAGCATAAATAGGAGTCAGTCAAGACTTTAGTCAGGGGCATAGAGTGGACACAAATGGATAAGTGTGAACAATGATCAAGAATTCTAAATAATGTTTTGGAGGTGTGGTTCCACACAAGCTCTTTCTAGAGAATACAGTGTAAGACTAAGAGAAGCAGATGATGTAGAAATGATCCAGAAATGAACCTTCCCCTACCTTGTCACACCCTTGGGACTCCTATTGTTTCCTACCCCAGAAACCAAGGGACAGATTCCCAAATATCATTTTAAGTCCTCAGGGAGAAGACACAATGCCTAAGTTACTTGGGAAATAAACACTCCCCTGAGTGTCACACAGGAGAAATTTGGATGATGACTGCAGCCGGTAATTTCTTTCATTCTCACTGCATTACCCCATTATTTTTGCCATTGTCTGACCTGGGGTCACTGACTGATGAAGGCAGAAACATTTTTCATCACCCTTTGGTGAATGAAGGGTCAACTTCCTTTTCAGATTTATCAGGCATGGAGTCTGGGATATTTCCAATGAATTGCCAATCTCTCTCAGGTCTTTTAGGAATTATATTCTCTCTCTCTTTTTGTCTTATCTCCTCATCATTTATGTTTCTTTTCTCCAGCACATACGTTTGTTAGTTGGGATGTCTGGACCCATCAGTCTGCATTTGGGGGCATCTCCACTGGAAACTGAATTTATGTATGAAGAATTCTATACTTCAATCAAGAAATTATTGGTTAGAAACCAATGACTCCTTCAGCTTTCCCTTCCCTACACTCAGGCTAATGCTACAAGCCAGGGAATATGGTGCCTAAAGCAGGAAAACTAATAGTTGTACACAAAACGAATTAGCTAAAAGTGAAGACTTGGCTTTCAGTAAACCTTTTTTCAACCATTTGATTGAAAGAAACTATAGGTAAGTCCATTAAGTCTCTTCAAATGAACGGTTTAACTCCTGCCTTCCTGACTTCTTGATTCTTGTAGTGATCTGCATTGTGAAATCTCTGTCCCTCACTTAAAGTGTGCCTGTTCAAACCTAGGACAGTGATCACATCCCAGAAGACACTCTTTCTACAGGGAGGGGAGGGTGTTCCTTGTGGCTAATTTGCCCATGGCCATAAGAAGGGGCAGCCTGATGCAGCCTCCTTAAGATCAGGAAGCCCCTTTGTTTACAAGGCAGAAGACCAACATCTGAAGAACTATACCCAAGAGGAAGGCACAAGAAAAGGAGCAGAGTATCCAATGGCTCCCTATTTTCCCAGGTGCTTTTCACATCCTCAGGAACTCCAAGGATGCCAAGCTACTGTCAGCCTTCCAGTACAGGGTATAGGAAAGACTCCAGAATGGAGCAAAACATTGAATCATAGAAAGGGAAAGGATTCTCACAAGGTGACCCTCATCTTCGTGGAAACATCAAGGACATTTAGGGGTACGTAAGAAAAATTCCTTCTGTATTTTAAGGCTGGGACTCATCTTCCTTTCACTCAACATGTAGTTAGGTTCAGTGCAATGGAAGTATTTCCACAGAGAGCAATAAAGAGCCAGAAAGAACCCCCTTAGGGATGAGCAGTCCTATCTCACTCCACTCCACCCTGTGTGGTGTGTGTTTCAGCTCAAATGTACTCTGTTAGTGTGTTGTTCTTTTCCATTAAAAATCTTCTCTCCTTTCAGATACATACTTATTTTTCAGTATTTATTTTAGGTATCACCTTTCTCTAATACTTTAGTCTCTGAGTCTCAGCTTGGTTCCCTTCCATGTCTCCATTTGGACCCTATGCTTACCTGTGACATTCTCCCTGTGAGACATGTCAAGCTTTCCGTCATTCTCATTAGGCAGTAGGCTCCATGAGAATAGTGACAAGGTCTCCTCTAATCTGAGTCACCCAATATAGTAACTGATACAAAATCAACATAGAGCAAAAGTTGGATGAGTTTATTGACAATGAGGCAATTTCTACAGAAGCCAGAGGAGTGAGGTTCTGAGCAGAATCCCTAGAGAGAAAGACCCAAAAATTGCAAAAGCTTTGCACAAAGGTACAAAACTTTTCCTCCTCAGATAGGACTCACAAGTAAAAAAAAAAAAACTATAAATAAAGAAACTAATGTATGCTGGGGACAAAGACTGCATGGGTGTGCTAGAGAACAATAGACTGATAGAGAATCGAGGCCTTAAGGTCAGTCTCGTGCTTTCCACAACTAAAGGGGATCACTGTCCTCCTAATAGCTGAGGCATTTTTTTTAAACTAAGTTTCAGAATAGCATCAATTTGATTCTTATAATTGATGGTGGTTTTCAGAACTGGAAAGCCTAAAATGATAAGGACTTCAATTCTGATTTCTTCATATTTTTTAAAGATTTATTTATTTATGCATATAAGGGCTGGGTATAGGTCAGAATTGTGGGGCGTGAGAGCATTCACCAGAGACAGTGGGGAACAGAACAGGCAGATTGGCTGAAATACACTGCTGAGGGGAGCAGTGGGCGAGACAGGAGAGGTCTGCTGCGCAATGTGGGTCACCTCCCTGGCTAAAGATCAAACTGGTGCTGCAGTGGCTGTGGGTAGCTTCATAGTGCTGTGTCTGAACCCCTTGCACCACCAGGGAGGCCCCCAATTCTGATTTCCTTAGTGATCACCAGTAATTCATGATTTTGTCTCTGGCAAGTCATTAAATTGAGTCCAAGTTTGTGAAAAGGTCTTGGGTTGGTATTATGGGCTAAAAGAAACTTAGGAAACTAATCTTAATATCCTCAGAATATGTCAATCCTTAGCTTGACATTGCCACAAAAGATATAGCTGTGATACCCGATTGGCATTGAATCAATGTGGTTTTTCCTTATTTTCACTTTTAAATATGATGTAACTTGCTTTAGATAGGCAGGCAATTTATGATAAGCTGAATTTAGTTAGACCCTCAGGTTGCTAGAGAAATTCCCGGTCCTAAAGAGTAATTTCATATATAAATGGACGAGTTGCCTAAATTCCTGTGACTCATTCTACAGCCAAGTTGAAGGATAGATGGGAGCTAGATTCCAAGGGAAGTGACAAGAAAACCTACAGTCTGTGGTGCCCAAACTTGCAGTCCAAGGCTTATCTACCACATCATTTGTCAATTAAACCCTCAAAAACTCTCTTTTTAAATCCTTTGCTCTAGTATTTCACTTTTGAAATACTCCTTTAGAGTTTTACAGCTCCTTTAGAGTTTTACAACTGCAGAGCACAGAGAAGTTGAGTCACTTTCCCAAGGTCAGTGGACTAGCAAATGGACATACTGGAATTCAAAACTAGGCAGTTTGACTCAAATTCTGATCCTGGTTGAATGGGCATCATATTCTTTACAAAATCAGTTTTCTGATATTTTTATCCAACTCAGATATTCACTGATATCATTATTGTCATCATGAGAACAGATGTGAAGATGGAAGTTCCTGGCACTTTCATACCTAAGTTTTAGCCACCCTTTATGGAAAACCTTCTCTGCCTCTAAACTTGAGTAAACAAGAGCCCCAGGTTCTTCACAGGATCTGTGATTGGAGAAAGTGGGGATATATGTGCCATATCACGTAAGTCAGGGCTGCTCTGGAGAAGACCTGTCCTCCCCAGGCTCATGTTCATGTCGTTGTGCAGGTGGGAAAGGTAATGGCTCCTGATGGGAACCAGAGCAGTGGTGTGACTGAGTTCATCCTGGCAGGTTTCCCGAACCTCAACAGCACAAAGGCAGAACTGTTTTCTGTCTTCCTTCTTGTGTATCTGCTGACCCTAACAGGCAATGTGTTGATTGTTGGGGTCATAGGAGCTGACGCTCGCCTGCAGACGCCCAGGTACTTTTTTCTGGGTAACCTGTCCTGCCTAGAGGTCCTGCTCACTTCCGTCATCATTCCCAAAATGCTGAGCAACTTTCTCTCAAGGAAACACACAATTTCCTTTGCTGCTTGTATTACCCAGTTCTATTTCTACTTCTTTCTTGGGGCCTCTGAGTTCCTGCTATTGGCTGTCATGTCTGTGGATCGCTACCTGGCCATCTGTCACCCACTGCACTACCCTTTGCTCATGAATGGGGCTGTGTGCTTTCGGATGGCCTTGGCCTGCTGGATGGGGGGGCTCCTCCCTGTGGTTGGCCCCACAGTGGCTGTGGCCTTGCTTCCCTTCTGTGAGCAGGACGCTGTGGTGCAGCACTTCTTCTGTGACAGTGGCCCATTGCTCCGCCTGGCATGCACCAACACCAAGAAGCTGGAGGAAACTGACTTTGTTCTGGCCTCACTTGTCATTGTATCTTCCCTGATGATTACTGCTGTGTCCTATGGCCACATAGTGCTGGCTGTGCTGCGCATGCCCTCTGCTTCAGGCCGTCAGAAGGCTTTTTCTACCTGCACCTCCCACTTAATGGTGGTGACCCTCTTCTATGGAAGTGCCATTTTTCTTTATGTGCGGCCATCACAGAGTGGCTCTGTGGATACTAACTGGGCAGTGACAGTGGTAACGACATTTGTGACACCACTGCTAAATCCATTCATCTATGCCTTGCGTAACGAACGAGTTAAGGAAGTCTTGAAGGACTTATGTAGGAAAGTGGTAACAAGAATTTTGGGGGATCTTTTACTTGCTAAGAGTTTCAATAAGAAAACAGTGGAATGAAAGTGATGGGATGTAATAACTAGTCTTAAGTCCAAGTCTTCTCCATTGTCACTCTCTTTCCTGTTATCATCATGTACATCACCAAATGACTAAATTCTGAAACCACAAAAGAAGTCCAAAATCATCAAATCTATCCTTCTCTTTTAGGCAACATTCCTTGATTCTATCTCATACATAAATCCACATTATTATTGATATATATCATAGTCAATACCACCATTACATTATATGAACTTCCAGCCTGTGAGAGCTTAACTTAAGGGTCACTGGTCACCAAGAAGTCTAAAGATGGGGTTCAGAAAAGTTATAAATCCATTCAGTATATAAGAGTTATGTGTTTGAGGCTATTTGCTTTTGTCTGGGAAGATGATTAATAGCTTTTATTCAATTCTTAAAGGAATCTATGGATGACTGTCACCAAAAGTTAAACTGATTAAAATTCTCAAAGAAGAGTCTTCCAATTGTTTATGAAAATCAAGAATTTTAGGGAGCATTTCCTTATAATCATAAAAATAAAATAAACTATCTGGATGTTTTTGACATGTTTCCTCAAAATTACATTTACTCTCAGGTGGAAAATCAGTGAAGTAAATATAAAAAGGGATTTATTCATGTTTCCATGGCAATCCCACATACCTTTGGAAAAACATATGAAGAAATTTCATGAATAATAATATTTAATGTATCTTTCTAATGTCTTCACACTTTATTACAAATAAATGAAAGATATCTTCACTCCTTTTGTCACTAGATTGTGTTTCTTTCATTTATCTACTCTTTACATTTTTATATCTGTTGTTGTCAATCTTCTTTTGTTTTTTGTAAAATTGTGACTGGGATAGAGAACTTTAATATCAAAGAATTAAGGATGACAACTCTTGTACTTGCCAAGAACCAGGCTCTGGTAGGTATCATCTGTCTTGTTGGGTGTCTCATAGAGAACAGGGTGCATATCTGTTGTGCCCCTGAAAGTCCTGGACCAATATTTCTCTTTCTTTCTTTCTTTCTTTCTTTCTTTCTTTCTTTCTTTCTTTCTTTCTTTCTTTCTTTCTTTCTTTCTTTCTTTCTTTCTTTCTCTTTTCTTTCTTTCTTTCTTTCTTTCTTTCTTTTTTCTTTCTTTCTTTCTTTCTTTCTTTCTTTCTTTCTTTTCTTTCTTTCTTCTTTCTTTTCTTTCTTTTTCTTTCTTTCTTTCTTTCTTTCTTTCTTTCTTTCTTTCTCTTTCCTTCTTTCCTTCCTTCCTTCCTTCCTTCCTTCCTTCCTCCTTCTTCCTTCCTTCTTCTTCCTTCCTTCCTTCCTTCCTTCCTTCTTCCTTCCTTCTTTCTTCCCTCCCTCCCTCCTTCCTTCTCTCTCTCTCTCTCTCTCTCTCTCTCTCTCTCTTTCTTTCCTTCTACAAAAGCATGTTTTTGGTTGGATACTGTGATATACTAACAGATGCTAAGATGAAGAAGAAATAATTCGTAACCTCAAGCAGCTTTGATTTTAGATGGGAAGACTAAGAGACATATAATAATTCAAAGGGATGAAGGTAAGGGGGGAAGTTCATATGAAAATTGAGTTACCCTTTCCAGAATTCTTTGATGAGAGCAATTTTCAGAGGTTATATCATTCATTAAGCAAGAATGAATTCCATGTTGGACTGTATTTGTATGCATAGAGACAAATGTTAGAAAGCTGAAATATCAAGTTATGGATAACACATTAATTTAGAGCTACACAGAGCTACAAACCGAGCATGGTCATAAAGCTTCAGTGGCCACTGGAAAATAGTGATGGTCTCATCTAGTTCTACTAGTAATACACACAGACACACACTATGTATTTTGATTCTGGAAGATTTCTGAATGCAAATTAAAGGGATGGAAGGAATGATAACGTGGGTGGGGAGGGGAGGATGAACACTTCTGGAGAGACGTAGAAGTGTTGCCCAGAAAGTGAATGA